TGTTTGGTGAAACAATTCTTAAACAATTTCATTTTTATCTTAAGAATACTTCCATAGCAGCTCAAAGAAATACTTTTTTACTTTGGCTGGGATCCAGAGAACTATTTTAGGTAGGCCCTAGGGCTTGGACATACTCAAGTGAGGTTCTTTCTTTCTTTCTTTCTTTCTTTCTTTCTTTCTTTCTTTCAGTAACAGGCACACACACATGCTGTCATATCAGACTGCTTTTGAAACACTACCTGGTTTCGAAGGTGGTGGTATTGTGGGTGAATGCTGTAGAAACAGAACTCCAAAGCTCCCATAGGTAAGGAGAACTAGTTATATTGATTTCTTTGGATCCTAGCCTTCATTGAATAGAATTTCCAAATTCCCATATGAAGGGTTGCTTTATCATATTGGAAATCAGATGGTTTGCATTAATTGCAATAACATTTAATTGTAGTGCTTTCTCCGTAACATATGCTTACAAGGATAAAGGGTAGCACTTTTTAAGCACTTGTTTGGTTTTAACTGTGCTATACAGAGTTCTGGAAACTGATGATTCTTTAATAAATTCATATATAAATACTATTCATTTTTAAGTCATTCTGTTTGGCAGTAATGTGTTCTGATCTGAAAGCTTCCATACTAAATTTAAATCGATTCTTCAGTTTGAGCTGGTTTTTTTTGGCAATTTTTATTTGATTATAACCGAGTGCACATTACATAGAAGTTGCATGGTTAAGATCAGATGACACTGGAATGTATGCAACATTTGGTTCAACAGACTGTTACTTTCATGTTAGCATGGAAAGCCACTGCAGTGCTTTGTAGATTATGCAGGCCTCTGTGTTACAGTTCATGGAGTAGGCTGTTCAAAACTGAAACTGCATTGTAGGCCAGTGAAACGAGTTGCTTTTCCTTCTATTCTGCTCTAAACAGCAGCCCAGGGTCAGAAGTCAAATGCGTCTCTTAAATGTTATTCCACATTGAAATACCTCTGGAATCCCTAAGCATTTCTACATTCTGTGCTTTAGTAATCCTCTTGCCAAAAACATTTCCCTGCTGCTGCTCTGACAGGTGTGATGTGTATATATATCCTTTTTTAATGCCTTTGTGGTGTATAATTATGAGAATCTTGGAAAAAGAGAAACTGTACTCAGTAGTAGACTATATATTATAGTAAATTGAAAACATGTGTATAAATAGAATGTTTCAGCATAAAAATACCTGTCTTCATGTTAGGTAGAGAATGTAATCGACTCAGGAACCAGCTGTTTAGCATAGTTTAAATTGTATTTTTAGGCACCTGATAGCCATGTTCCATCTAAAGACACATGAACTTGAGACTAGGAAATGATTGAGTCTCCTCCTCTGTAATTTAATGGAAACATGGCTGGTTTTGTCACACAAATTCATATGTTATGATTCAGGTATCTGTATATCAGTGCAGAACTTGGTGTGAAGCAGCAGTAAGACCATGGCTTGGGATGCTGCTTAATGCATTACAGAACTAGGATGGCCACTTTTCTTAGGTTAAATTTGACCACACATTTTTGACCCTGGTGGTAAATAACAATGGTGTCTTTATACCAACTGAAGTCAGATTCACATGAAGCTTGTGCCTCACATCTTTATTTCATTTTCTAGCCTCCTAAAATGATAATAGTGATGGGAACCCAACATGATGAAGTTCATGTGCCTCTAAGCGCAAGCTTCAGGTTCCAAAATTTTAAGCTAGCTTGACTGAAGATGATGTGTACCTCTATTCTGTTCAACCTGGCATGTCCTCCATTCCAAGACAAAAGTGTGGCGGGTTCTTGTCCAAGAGATGTTGTTTACAGATCATGCAGCCTTGACAGAAGGAAGCTCCAAGGAGGCTCTTTAGAGACGCATCAACTGTTTTGCGCAAGCCTGCATGGAGTTCAGCCTCACCATCAGCCTGACAAAGATGAACATTCTGGGTCAGGATGTCACCAGCACTCCATGCATTATCATGGATGACCACACATTTGAGATTTTGCTGTCCTGGGCTCCACCAGGACACCAACCTCTCCATCGATACTGAGTTGGACAAGCATACTGGATAGGCAGCTACAGCAATGGCTTGCCTCTCCAGAAGGGTATGGGAGAATGTGATGCCAATATCCAAAACCAAGATGAAGGTCTACCATACTTCCATGTTGAGCACACTGATTTATGGAAGTGAAATGTCGGGAGCTTACTCTTAGCAATGCCTCAATGCCTTTCATATGCACTGCATCAGGAAGATTTTGGGCATCACAGGGTCTCAAACAAAGATACCCTTTCCCAAGCCGACATTCCCACCATGTTATCCGATGTCAGCTCTAACACAATACTGTACTGTACTTTGCAGTGAAAGCAGCCAATGTGTTTGGGCAACAGTGATTAAGTAGTAAGAGACTAAATATGAAGGTGTATGTAAAGGCTTTGAGGTGCTTGGAATCGCTGAAGAGCAGACTGAATTATTTTGCTTAAAGCTGTGCACAGCTCTTGACAATCTAAACCTATGTTCACATTAAGCAGAGAAAACGTAAGGAACCACTCACTGAGGTGCTTTCTACCTATATATTTTGAGAGGAAGAAACTGCATTTAAAGCTGGTAGAGCTTTTTTTTTTAATTCTGGCAAAACAAATTCTTGTAGATTTTTCTGATGGGGAGACCTTACTATGTCAAAGTCTAAAAGCTTCAATTATAAGCTTTCTTTTCCTTTCAACATGTATGCTGATATGGTCACCAATATTTGAGTAAAAGAATCTTTTTAGTGAAAAGCTATTCTTTCTGGTTGTGATAAAAGTGCCAACTTGGGTGTTAAAGCTACTCATTCAACAGGGACAAGTAAGATTTCCACATGTGGAAGACAAACACTGAAAACAAATCCCATGTAGTCTGGAACCAATTTGTGTAATCCTTCACAAACACAAACAGATGTGCCACTTGTCCACTAGAGTTTAGCTTGAAGTCTCTGTAACTTGTGAAAAGTGGCAGCTTAAAATGCTGGACACCTTTGGCCTTGGTTGCGCCACAGCTTGGCATTCTGCTCTAAAGGTGTTGTAAAGGTGGTCAGTGTTGGTACAACAACTGTGGTAGAAGACCCATTCTCAGCCTCAGAAAAATACCATTATTCAATCTGCCAAATAACCATCTTCCTCTCTTAATCCTATGTGGTAGAGACTTATGCACAGCAACCGATTATTGCCCACTTCACACATTAGGAAAGACTAATTCTTTGCCTAACACATTTTTTGCAGCTCTGTAATGTGTCTTCCTTCCACACAATAAATCAGATGTAGTCATTTGCCCAGGAACTCAGCCAATTCCACACTAGCGCACTTCAAGCATTCTGCGATCCGTTGGAAGAGAGGTTTCAGAGCCCATTTGGTACTTGAGGTAGTGATATTGTCCCTGTTATAAACTTGTAAGACCTGTTGCCATGGCAGAAGCAAAAGTATGCAGCACAGAATTGTAATGGGCAAAAAACTTCAAACACTTTATGTATGCAAAATGAGAGGTGTGTTTAAAAAACAAAAAACCCAAGTAAACTAGGTGCTGTTGACTCAAAACTGACCATCAAAATATAGTGGAACCTCTGTTTTCGAACTTAATCTGTTCTGAAAGACAGTTCAACTTCCGAAACGTAAACTGAAAACTCAATACGGAAGCCTCAATACAATAGGGAAACTTAAAACAGAAGCCGCGGCGCAAGTACGGCTTCAGAAAATCATTCAAAAACTGGAGCAGTTCTGGGTTTTTGGCATTCAAAAGCCGAAATGTTCGATTAAAGAAATGTTTGACAACCGAGGTTCCACAGTATTAAATAATGGATGTAGGAAGCAGATAGAAATTTTACTGTTCAAAATAAGGACAGTAGAATCCCAGAATAATCTTACACAAAGTTCTAGCCCAGGCTTTAAAGGGGAGATGCTTATAGGGGGAAGCAAGGCTGGCCCACAACATTTTACTGCCTGAGGTAAAATAGAAATCATGTAAGGGCCCTGCCACCACTCCCTCCACACTTACATTATGCTCCTCGCTTTCTAGGCACAGGTCTGAGCACACACACCCCAGCGTTTTCCCCACAAAAGCCTGCTCTTTAATGCTAAATCGGAACAAATGGCAATTCAGGTTTCCCAAAGTAAGTGCTCAGATGCAGCACTTTGCAGCATGGACCTGTGCCTAGAAACATAGCACAAAATAAAGTATGGGTGAGCCCTTAGTTTGCCCATATTGAGGTGTGGGCAAGAGGAGGCTTAAAAATGCTGCTTGGGTTCAAAAAGTTTGAGAAATGCTTTTAAAGCAAATGCCAACTGAGGGCATCTTTTTCATGCACTAGTATGATTTAAGTCAGGTGTGGGGAACTGGCTAAGGTTATACTATTCCAAATGTTTCCCTGTTTTGATTTAAGGCAGTGATGGCCCAACTTGGCCCTCCAGCTGTCTTGGGACTACAATTCCCACCATCCCTGACCACTGGTCCTGTTAGCTAGGGATGATGGGAGTTGTAGTCCCAAAACATCTGGAGGGCTGAGTTTGGCCATCACTGATTTAAGGCCTCCAAACTCACCATACATACTGTGTGTGTGTGTGTGTGTGTGTGTGTGTGTGTGTGTTTGTGTTGTGTGTGTGTGTGTGTGTTTTCTGATACTGTTGTTGCATGTGTGGTCCTGAGGTCATAGAGTTCAAAATAAACCTTAGATCTGAGTCATTTTGCATCAAGCAGCCAGTTTGCTTTATACAAATATGCACTTCCCTCACACCAGCTTTTGGGAATAGCTTAATGGTCCAGAGGTGGATCCATTCCAGTTAAAGTAAGCCAAGATTTTGGGGGTGGGGAAGGTGGAGGGAGAGGAAACAATAAGACTTTAGTCTGAGCAAATGCTCATGTGAATTGGGAAAGGAAGACTGAGGAATTTTTGATGCCCAGCAAGGACCCAAAGGGGAGTGGTTTCCTGCAGGCTTCTCACAGGTATGTTAAGGTTACAAGAGGGGAAATTATTTGTAGTGCATGGTGTCTTTTACTGCATGCCGTTTCTGTGAAAGAAATTTCTTTCCCATTTAAATTTGCATGGTCTCTAGAAGTGCTGCTGTGACTGTGGCTCACAAATCATGTTACGTTACAGAGAAACGTAGCTCTCCCATGGAAAAAATGACAATGTGGAGATAGTGCTTGCTGCTGATTATGGTATCCCAAAGAAAAAGTGGCAGAAACAGGAAAGGAGGGAAATGTCTCACTGAGGGGAATCCCAAGTTGCCTGAAGTTTCACATAATAAAGACCTGTCAGTATACTGAAAACCCAAAGGAAAGGAATAGGAATGAATGAATGACATCTGTTCCCTTTTTAAAATTCAAAAACAAAGAGAAAGTATTGTGACACCTTAAAAACTAGCAAGAATATTATTTTATTCAGGCAACCCAAGTTGGGTAGCCACCAAAATGTAGAATCCAGAATTTGTCAGGCAAAAATGTCAAACAGGAGGCAGGACTGTCGAGAAAACACACACACTTTTAAACCCTTTGCTCTGTCTGCCTCATGTATAGATTACTGCTCCTTCTCCTTTACCTTGTTATTCCTGTGAGTTGTGCTGATAAAAAGTGACTGGAAGTTTAATCTTTGTCCAAGCCACTGAATACATACAGCTATTAATTTCTCCCTCCTCTTCTGCCTCCTGCCCCCTCTTCCATTCTCTTCTCTTACATTTTCCCATATGGTGACTTTGGAAAATTCCTCTCTGCATAGGAAAGGACAGGAAATTCTCTTTGGGAGAGAGAGTTGCCTATTCCTCTCTCTCCCCCCTCTCCCTTTCTAGTTCTGCTGATCACATCTGGAAAGGATCTGACTTGGGAAAGGGGGAAAGTGTTCGGCGCTTCGAGTGTGTAATTGACATGGCATGAGCAAGCGGAGCCTGGGGGGGGGGGCAACAAGAGAAACGTTTTTCTCCAGACACTCATCACCACCAGCTAAACAGAGGTGAGTTTTTGTTTTCTGCACTTTTTACTCTCTGAAAATAGCATGACAACTTGGAGGGCAGAGAACAGCTTCTTCGGTTTTTTGTTTTTGCCGCGGCTGCTTGAAAACTCATTATGCACACCTAAACATGCATAACCTGCTAACTGGAGGGTGTAACAGTGCCTCACAGCGAGAGAGCCACAGGCACTGTGCATGTCTAATTGCTTTTTCTGGAAAACAACCCCTGAACCTTTCCAAGCGCTGCTGGGCACATAATTCACCACTGGTGCTGCAGATACAGGGCTTTGGGAGGCAGAGATGCTATTCTGGACCTCAAAACAAAACCAGTATGTTCTGGCTTCTTAAGCAGAAGAAACTTTATACATCTCTCTCGCTGCACTTTGCTGAGACAGGCGCAGGATTTGAGCCAAACTTTGGTGGGCTCTCTGCAGAGACTTGAGAGATGAAGCCAAAGTGAGACAACAAACCTAGGATAAGTTTATGTAACAACTTAAAGAGGAGGGGGAAAACCCATCTTAAGGCTTTCTTCAAACTGCAAAAGAAATCAGAATAGCTTGCTGGGTTTGTCAGTCTTGCCAGCAGATGTTTTTTTTTATCCCAAGTGTCTTTCTTTGGTACCGGAGTAGTGACTGCTACAAAAGCTCAAGACAGATGGATGTCAGTGGCGTGGGTTCCTTCTAGCTTCATAGTGGAGTGGACCAGGCAAAACTCTGCCAAAAGGAAAATTGAATAATCTTTGTATGACTTTATACTCCAATAAAGCACACCTGAGGTCAAATGAGATGCCCCCACTTTGAAGTGAGTGCAATTGCCATTAAATACTCATCTGGCACATTCAGAAATTTACAAATTTGCTGCAGCATACACAGCATGTCAGGAAGATACGCAGTAGTGGGTGTTGCAGTCCCAGAAAAGGAAGTCATTTAAGGTTTGATGATAGAAACTGGATTGCGGACAACAAACAGCTTGGATCTGGTTCGTGAAACTTAGCCAGAACAAAATCCTCCTCTTTGGGGATATTCTGCAGACAATGGTTTAACTATTTGCTCTGTCACATGCTTACTGAGTTGTTATGGGCAAAAGCCTCTCTCTCTGAAAATGGAGAAAACAATAAACAGGGAAGTAACATGCAATTGTTTTGGTGGCATAGAATCACAGAATTGGAAGGGACCCTGAGGGTCCTCTAGTCCAACCCCCTGCAATGCAGGAATCTCAATTAAAGCATATGTGACAGATGGCCATTTGTTGCACATGGTTATATAAAGTTACAAGCTGAGTTACAGTAAGCCATGAGAATCAGAAGGTTGTATGAAAGGACTTACGGAGGAGGTGGGTTTTAAGGAAGGATTGGAAAGAAACGAGAGGCGGCACCACCCAGGTGTTGGAACAGGAGGAGCTAAGTTTGCAGGCAGCAGGGATGTATTAGGAATGTCAGTGAAAAAGAAAGATAATGCAGTGGTGTAGAGGCAAGGGCAAGGAGTTTGTGCTGGACCTGGGAACAGGCAGGATGTTATTGTAACGATTTAAGGAGTTGGGGACACGTGGCCAGAGTAATGAGAGGTGAATGATTTTGGGAACCAAGTGCAGGATACAGGTGAAGGGACCAAGGTGAGGCAATGCAAGACCAAATATAAGGATGCAGTAGCCTAGTCAAGAAAGATGCAGATCAGAGTGATTGCAAGGGAACAGATAGGATGCAATGCTGCAACAGGTGATGCAGCACAACAAAAGCGGGTTTAGGGCAGCGTGACTGGTTCTGCCACACTGGGCTCTGAGCCTAGGGGGCGCTGCAGGGTGTTGCTATGATGTGGATTGAGCAGAACGGAAGGTGAGGGGGTGCATTCCGAATTTTGGCCTTACACAGGGTATTGGTGAAATTTGAAAGACCGAAGTCTGTTGCTGCAACACGCCGTGTCTGTGGCTTGAGTATGGAGAACAAAGGCAACAGGCCTGTTCAACTGGGTGGATGGCAACTTTGTCAATTGATAAGGAAAGAATACAATGAGAAGAGAAAATGGGAAGAAATGTGAGAATTTCAGTCTTGGACATACTGAGCTTCAAATGAGGTGTCACTTGTCAAATCCTAGTGCTGCAGCTATAAGAAAAGCTGCAGCTGTCAACAGTTCACCTTTTGCACAGCTGCTAAGGTAAAGAAGCCTTTTGTCTTTTCTTTCTGGTGACCCCATTTGGGAAAGGGAGAAAGCTAAGCATCTTCTTGTATTTGCAAATCGTCCTATGTCGACCTGTGACTTAGCACCAGGCTGGAGAATCTTTTCAGCCCAGCCCTGAGGTCCCCAACTCCTGATGGCATCTGCAAAGCTGAACTGAGAAGGGAGATCCAAGCAAAGGTTGAAGTCCTGCTTGGATCAGCTAGACTGGAGTTCCCATTCCAAAACTCCTAAACTCCAGTGTCGCCATGGTTTGGTAGCTCCTCAGTGGAAAGAATCCCAGTAGGGCTTGCATTTGGTGTCAAATTTCAAAAGCATTAAATACAAGCTCCATTTGCCAAGGGACAATCAGAAGTGCATTTTAAGACTTCTGACTGTTTCTTTGCAGGTGCAGTTGTACGTTGTCATATATGGGGGTGTGTGGAGTGGGCATGGCTTGGTGAAATGGCCTCACAGGCCAAATCAGAACCCACCGACCCCCAGGCATGATGGAGCCAATGGACTGGAGGTCCCTTTCCAGTGACTTAGCAATTAAGCCACACTTCCAAGCATTTAATCTTCAGGGTCTGGTAGTAAATGAATTGTCAGATGTCCATATTCCTTTGTGCCATTGTAGAGGTTCAAGCCTACCTTTAAAAAGAGCTGCTATTAACTGATCCCCAACTCACTGATGTTTCCTTGATTTCAGTGGAAATGTACTTAAAGTTCGGGTCCCTGTTCCCTGTGCTATGGCTCTTGGCACTTAGCTCCAGCAGGATTCAAGCTCGGAAGAATGCAGACAGCAATGAGTTCCCAGAAGATTCATCGGAACTAATCGACCCAGAACGTAATTCTTTGGCTCCAGATTGTCCTAAAAAATGCACTTGCAATCCAGAAGGAATTGTGGATTGTGGAGGGTTTTCACTGAAAGAATTTCCCATAGATGTACCAGAATTGACAAGCCACCTTTCCTTACAGGTATTGTAAAACTAAACATGGACTGCAAACTGTTTGTGGGATCAGGCCCACAGTTTTCTTGTAGCTGTTTGTAATGATGTTTGTACAATACAGGACCTAAAGCAAAGGTATCAGGTCTGGCTAAAGGAAAAGGTATTATGAAAATATTGATTTGTGGCCTATTTGTGGAAGAGTGCAGTGTGAGCTAAGGCATTCTTAGCTTATTGTACTAGTCATACAAGGTGTTTCCAGATAGCTTGTTTACTGCACATTCATCCTGGTTTGTTTGCAGGGAGACTAGACTGACAGCTATTTAATGAACATTCATTCTGACTTATTTGCAGGAGGTTAGATAATGCAGCATCAAAGCAAGTGCTATCACACATTTCCCAGTGTATTTTCCCATCACTTTTCTTATCGCAAAAAGTCCAATCTTTTGGGGAGATGGGGTTGCTGTGCAAGTCCTCCACATCCTCAATTTAACGTCATGTGAGTGTTGCTGTTGTCAGGCTGCAGGATTCAGTCTGGAAGTGCCCCTAGACACTGAGCTATATTATCAGTGAGGATGCAAAATTCTGCACAAACATACGTTGTAAAATTCAGTAATCTTCCACATCCACTATGGCCTGCATCCAAAGAACTGCACGACTTGTCTGCATGCTTAAGGAATGCTTGGGCTTACATAATAGCCACCCACAACCTTCTTTTTGAGCTGAAGGGGGTTTTCAAAGCAGTTTGAAATAGGATGTGGGTGTTTGCACTTCAAAAAGAAAATACTCGTTTTTTAAAAAATCAGCTGGGCAAGTCCAAGTTCTTGGGTGCCTCTAAAGCAACTCTTTCATTCTGGCCCATATGATTTGCCTGGTTCTGTCTTGTGCTCTCTCTCTGTGCATGTGTCTGCTGCAGCACAAGCAAAAGCTTGTGCTCCAAAGCAGCTGCATCAGCAGGACAGAAGGCTGAACAGCTCCATCCCACCAGCCCATTTTAGAGAGAAGCGATCCTGCCATTCAAATCCAGGTGAAGATTCTCGGAAGCGCCCTTTTGTTTCAATGGGGAATGTTCCCATGTGCCTTGAGGTCCTGATAAATCTTTTCACTTCTTTCAGAACAATCAGATAGAAGAAATCTTTCCAGAGGAGCTGGCACGTCTTTACAGGCTAGAAACACTCAACTTGCAAAATAATAGACTCACTTCCAAAGGTAAGCTGCAAAAATCCAGACTGGCCTCTTAACTCCTGATTCGCTGTCTTTCATTGGACTAGGAGGAATGTTGATGCTTGCCAATGACTAACACTGCATATCACCCACTAGGAGGAGTGAAATATAATTTGATCCCCCCTTTCCTTGGCTTAACTCTTGATAGTATTGTGAAGCCCTAATTTCCGGAACTTTATAAGTTTGGTGCTATCCACATGCACAATGTGTAAAAGAGCTACGTACATACAGATCTACAGAGAGAAGAGGGTGGGAAAGACACAATGAAGGCAAACACTCTTGTGCATACTCAGAACTTGGTTATATCTGGGGAGGGACGCAGGTGGCGCTGTGGTGTAAACCACCAAGCCTCTAGGGCTTGCTGATTGCCCTTGCAACGTGGTAAGCTCCCATTGGTCTGTCCCTGCTCCTGCCAACCTAGCAGTTTGAAAGCATACCAGCGTGAGAATATAAATAGGTGCTGCTGCGACAGGAAGGTAAATGGCATTTCAGTGCACTCTGACACTCATCATGGTGACCTGTTGCACCGGAAAGCTGTCTGTGGACAAATGCCAGCTCCCCTGGCCTGAAAGCAGACATGAGTGCCTCAACCCATAGTCAAATTCGACTGGACTTAACTGTCCATGGGTCCTTTGCCTTTACCTCTATCTATAGCTGGGGATGAAGATTGAAGGGATGTGGGTCACATGGAAGAAGTGGGTTTTGAGGAGGGGTTTGACGTGGGGAGAGAGATAGCACGTGCAGGGACTGTGGAGTTGTTTAAGGCAGGCAGAAGGCGGTTTGGGAACTTCTGGTAAGATCTCATTGAGACAAAATGAGGCAGTTGCCTCAGGCAATGGGTGTGTGTGTGGATTTGCATTCCCAGCCTCCTTCCCCCTCACCCACTGGCCTTGCCAGACAGCTACTGCCTGCCCACACAGCTACTCACATTGTATATATGTAGTTCTGCAGAGCCATTCCCTGCTTTCCCCCTCTCTGCCACCACCATGGCCCCCACTTGCTCACCAATTCCCCTCATTAACTGCTTTGCTGCTACTAATTTAGCAGTGGCAGCATTGGCCATTCCTCTGCTCCCTCTCCTGTTTGTCTTACTCTGAGGAAGGGCCAGGGATTATTCAGAGAAGGTGTTCTGGGCAAGATGGAGAAATCTCTATCCAGATTCTGATGGTGCAGGAAATCTGGGCCCTTCAGGGTGAGGCCGAGCAGAGGAAGAGCCAGAGGCAATAGCATGGCCACTGGTGCCAGCTCATTAGTGGTAGCAAAACAATTAAGAAGGAAGCGGGAAAGGAGCAGAGAGGGATGCTGGTGGAACACTTTGTGTTGCCTTTGTCTCTGGATGATTTGCAGCAGATTGACATAATTTTTGGAGGTCACATCCACACTATAGCATAACTCTAACTGCACCGCTTCCCAAATTATGCTGCTGCAATTAAGAAATCTTGAGGAGAATCCAGGTGTGTGTTTATGTATGTTCAAGTCTGGGGCTGAAAACTAATTAATGGTCCAAGCTTATGTTTGAAAGCACCTTGTTGCTTCCTTCTATGTGAATGTGAATTCTCTCCCTGCTCCCCATTCCAAAAATTCAGTTGGTGGAGAAACTTCAGGTCTACACTCTCAGTAAAAGCCTTTTACTGGAGACCACATTTAAAAGAATAGGAGACCTTTGGTTGTCTGAGGGCAGGCATTGCCAAATAGCATGGGCTTCATGTACATGTCAGTCTTTAGAGATCCACTGAAAATGCTTCACTGTAAAAGAAAATAGTACCCTGATTGTGGACACAAGTAAAAATGTTAACCTACACCAGCCTACTCTGCAGATCCTTAAAGGCTAAGTCTAATCCACATAGTTTGTAACAACTTGTTTTTATTTTGAGATGCAAGCATGCTCACAGTTAGTTCTATGTGTCAAAGAGGGCTTTGGCTTATATTTGGGGTGGGGGTGGGGGGAGCTGCATAGGAAGCTACATTTGAAACTGAGGGGACTTTCAAAAGCAAATTGTAATCTGGAATGACCTGCTGCTCAAAACACGAAAGAAATTCTCACTGGAAATGGTGAAACCTTTGGGTGTGCCTAAAGTAGCTCTTTGGGTTCCAACTTACGTAAAGATAAAAATTAAATACGAATCTGATATTTCTAGTCATTTTTTAAAGGGGAAGAATGATGATCATAGATTAAAATCCTTTAGTTGCTCATAGGGGTACTAATTGTCAAAATATTCCTATCTGAAGGACTTCCAGAAGAAGTGTTTGACCAGCTGGAGAACTTGAATTACCTGTATCTTGCCAATAATCAGGTAAGCAAATGTGGTCTTACAAGAGCTGCTGTTGGTTATGTGTGTATGGACTGGGGACCAGGAGCCCTTTTCAGCCAAGAGCCACATTCCCTCATGGGGAACCGTGGTGGGAGCAACAGATATTTCTTTTGCACTTATACTGTATTCACAGGATTTTACACCCACACCCCCCCCATCTCCACCCAGGCAAATAAGAAGAGCGATGACATTTCAAGGCCACAATCTGGGCAGGCAAGAGCACACAAGGAGTGTGTGGAGTAAAATCAATGAGGGGTATGGCATGGAGTCTGGACAGAGAGGCCCAGAGGGTCACATTTGGCCCCTGAGCGGGAGGTTCCCCACCCTTGGTTGAGATAAACACTTCACCTAGTTTCTTCGTTTAGTATTGCTTGAGGAATTCATTGTTTGCATGAACTGACTGATCCCAGAGAGACGAATGTGTGGATCTATGTCGCAATGCAATTCTTGGCTCGAAAAACATATAAAACTTATGAAATGCCCATTCAGAACAAAATACATTTGGAAATGAATATTTTGTGAGACAATATGTTGAAAAATACTTATTTAAATGTGCATGTTTTAAAGTTAGAAATGCAGATGAATTAAGAAACAAGACAGAACGGACTTATGAAAAAGTACCTGTGAAACTGACATGAGTTGAAAGAGACTGAATCATCCCTTTCTTCGTAACTAAAGAGTAGTTTGACAGTGGCTAGCTTTTCAACTGGATTCTTTTGGCTTAGAGTGTTAGAACTTTAAAGATGCAGTAGGGACCATGACGTGCTACAGACAGACAGCAGTAAACAGTTTCATGGTGTTCCATAGCTGTGGCCCTTGAAACTTCCATTTTCCACAGCACCGACTGTATTGGTGTAGCAGTAGCTGATCATTGACAATCTGAGTGGTTATCATATCAAAGGAAACTGCATTGACTCCACCAACTCTTTCAAATGAGTTTACCCTGTTGTGGGTTAGGTGCAGTATCAAACTGCTTCTCCAGTAACATCATGTCCTTTCCTCCCATTTACAGCAATTTTCCATGTAACAGTTTTGGCAGTGAACAGCTGCAAAAAAAAGAAGAACACGAGCCAGGCTGTGACTAATATTCCAGAACGTTTCTGTCCAATTCCACACACACACACACCCAGCTCTATGTGATAAAATGGCCATTAACCTCCCTGTTCCTGCTGCAGAAGAAAATTGTATCTGAATAATAGAAGCAAAACTTTGAATATGGTATACACATGCAAACATAGCTTAGTAGTTCTACATATTCAGAACCACTGTGAACATACTGAGAACTAGGACACTGAAGTAAACAGTGCAGTATAGCCAAGGCCCATACTTAGCATGAGGGCAAGGATATGCTGGAGACAGGGTGCTTTCACAAGAATCATGCACTGTTATGTGCTTGGCAACTTTGACTAGAAGACCACACATAAGGCTTGACGATAATATATACCTATGCCAAACGGAAATAAAAATATCTGTAGCAGGAAATCTAAAATTCATCCGAGAAAATGTAACTTCTGAAACAGTATTAGAAGTGGGACCTGCAACAAAATGTTGCAGCGTGGAGTGTTTCTGGTTGGGATGCCAGGCAGCCTGCCATGCCCTTCTCCTGGATTCCATTTCTGTCCCAAAATGTCAACCAGCATTCTATGAAAACTGAGCATATTCAGTCTTCATTGGACTGTTTTGGGTGAATCACCCTCACCTCAGTGGTCCCCCCCCCCTTTGAAATTGCTTTTGTACTTCTGTAAACCTTGGAGCTTCACTGAACCTGTTGATACATTTTTTTTTTGGTAGTACCACTTTGGCTGTGAAAGCAAAGCATTAAAAGTTACATAAGCTGAACGTAAAAAAATATATAGTGGGAATATTGTACACACATTTGCAATTTGAATCTCCAGAATTTAATTTCCCAACTCATTTTTAATTTATTTATTTTTAAAGAGACAAATTCTTGGGTCTTTCCTGTTGATAATATATGTTAAAACTTAAAGCAATCCAGTTCCCCAGCCTTGTGTTATTGGCAGTGTTATTAAGTAACCACCTTGTCAAATGTAGTACGATACTAAAATCTTAAAACTAACAGGATTCATAAGTAGGAATTTTGAAAATAAACTACATTAGAAGAGCACACATTTAAATTTTCCACAAGCAAATTTGTATTAAGAGCATATTCTTTCTGAATAATTTCATTTCTTTCACAATATGTCTTTCCTCTGTTCTGTACAATGCTCAGCTTCCAACAGACACTAAATAAATATTGAATAATATATTCATAGTTTGTCCATTACAATCTAACATGCCTGCAGACAAGGTTACAGCTCACAAAGTAAACCCGTGTCTTTCAAAGATAGCGTGAGAAGAAGTACCCTTCAGAAATTTGATGAAAACTCAGAGGGGGAGCCTGTCATATACTCTTGTTTTCTCATGAGATTTTTCCAGGAAAAGTCACTGAACTATTTCTTGAAAGGATTATAAACGTAGCATAACATTTATTTACTCTCTGAATCCACTATTTCCTTCCAATATTAACAAAACAAAATATGTCTCAATACAAACAAAACTCCTTCCAGGGATGCTGAAACAAAAAATTAACTGTTTCCTACAGTGTTTACTTATACTTGTGAGGAAGACAGAAATCCTCACTGCTGTGAGGGAGCTCCACTTTTCGGAGCTTGACCTTGTTAGGTTTCCTCATTGAAACAAATAGCCTGATAATCTTTTGTTGCAAAACTGGCAATGGTGGCGGTTTGAAGCCTTGTGTCTCAGACCACAATATCCTCTTCTGGCACCATATTTTGTTTTCCAGCTCACGGCGGCTCCGAAATGCCTCCCGAGGACCTTGATCAGTGCTGATTTTGCAGCCAATAATCTCACTAAGATTTATGAGCTCACATTCGGACAGAAGCCAAACCTGAGGTAAACAGAGGGGTTAAGAGGCAACTGTAAGAGGAAGAATGTCACACTGCTTCTGTGGCAGATGGGAGAAAGTAATTGTTTAGTAAAAACCACTTGCGGCCTACAAATTGTAGCCGGAGGAAGAGAATTGTTTATCTTTGAAGACGAATTAATTCTGGTGGCTTCTGTTGGATGTCATTTGCATGCAAATAGCAGTTGTGCTGGAAAGTGTCTCAGAATACTGTAACAGAAATTCAGCTCATTGGTTTTGTGATCAGTTTGTCCAGGAGTAGAGGTTCCCAACATCACCCCTCAAAGATTTGCTAGCAAATACTTCATAAACAAGAATAAGGAAGACTACATAGATCAGGTATGCTGCCCAGTATTTGTTGGACTGTAGCACACATCATGCCTGATCATTGGCCATGCTGGCTGAGGCTGATGGGTACAACAACATTTGGAGGACCACAGTTTCTCTATCCAGTAATGAACTCTGATGCAGAATTCTCCTCCACAATTTATAGTTGAGGTTACCTTCAGTTTAGGGAGTTTGGTTTTGGGGGGGGGGTAAAGCTTTCTATTGGGACTGCGGCAGGAATAAAAAAACTAGGTGAGTATCAGAGCTTCAGTCTTATGTAGTCTTTAAGTTTCAGGATCTGAAGGAATAAAACTAGAGGATCATAATGAAAAGCAATGAGTGGCTCCTTAGGAGGCCTCAGGGCTCTCAGTACTCCAGCAACCAGGGTGGGTTAGTAGCCCCACATCCAAAAGGATGGCAATGGGTAGCAGTCATCAGTCTGTATTTAAGGCAAGGGCAGGCAACATGACCTGGGGGCTCAGCCCAGCCCCCCTAGGTTTCCCAATTGATCCTAAGGCTCAACAAGGTGAGGAGGAGCTCCTGATCAACAGTTTTTAGAGGTCATTTCCAGAAAACCTTATGAAACAAAACCAAGTAGCTATATCTGCACTCATTCCCAACTTAGTCTATTTCCCTTTCCGGTAGGTCAGTGTACCTTCACAACAATAAACTGGAAGATGCTGGGTTACCAGAAAGCATGTTCAATGGTTCTGATAATGTGGAGGTCTTGATCATGTCCAGCAATTTCTTAAAATACGTTCCAAAGAATTTACCATCAGCACTGTATAAACTACATCTAAAGGTAAGATGGCAATTCTATTACAGTAGTTCTTCTCCTTGGGGATGGGATTGTGTTTCTTTACATGGCAGGAACTCACACTTTGTAAATCTGATTCCTTTGAAATCACCCCATGTCTGTCTGTCTATCATGTTTGGGGGTTGTGCTCTCTGCCCAAGAGTATCTGAGGTATTCTATGGCTATGAGTGCTTATGTCCAGCTTAGGCTTGTTTGCCAGCTACAGCCATTCCTGGACTGGCATAGCCTGGCCTCAGCTGTGCACAATCTAGTGACCTGCTTTGACTACTTTATGCACTTTACATGGGGCTACCCTTGAAGGCTGTCTAGAGGCTGCAGCTAGTAGCTGTCAGCTAGCGTAGAATGCAGTTGCTATGCTGGAAAGTGGGGTACTTCAATGGGACCATGTGACACAGGTCCTGAAAGCACTGTACTGGCCAAATTCAAGGTGTCAGTACTAGCATATAAATCATCATCATCATCCACAAATTGCTTGGGACCCAAGTAGCTAAAATAACACCTTTCCCAATACCAACCACCTCAGACCTTACAACTGGCAGAGAAGGCCTTGCTGGTAGTACCGCCACTAGAGGCTGCCAAGTTGGTGCTGACCTGTAACAGGGCCTTTTCAGTGGTGGTTCCCCAGTTGTGGAATGCTGTCCCTAATGAGGTGCATCTGTCTCCATCATTATTAATTTTCAAAAGGAATTTGAAAACATTTCTATTTATTCAGGCATTTGTTAGCTGCAGAAAACTGTTTTTGGCAACTCGAATATCATTGTACCACCTCAGAGATGTCCACCTTGTACTTTAAGGACTATGATGTTAGGATGAAAAAACTCATGATCTACTTCCTGTGTTTCTTATGGCAGAACAACAAATTGGAGAAGATTCCTAAAGGAGCTTTTAGTGAGCTTTCAGGACTTCGAGAGCTGTATTTGCAGAACAACAAACTGACAAATGAGGGCATGGACAATGAAACCTTTTGGTGAGCATGTTGATTTTCTTTAGCGGATGTCAGCCACATGTTGCCTTACAGCTATTCTACTTTGTTAATAATTTGTCAACACATTAAGAACAATAACAACACATCCAATCTCCTATAAGCTGTGTTTTTTGTGGTATTATGGAGTACTGCCACCTCTTCTTTCTTTGCTGCCCATGGCATCCATTTTGTGCTGGCACGCACAACATTTTTATCAATATATGAGCATTGACACTTTTTTTTTAATACCCAAAACAGGGCTGCATATGAGAATAACTTTCCCTCTATTTTAGTTAGACACTGCGATTGAATTGACTCAGAAATCGATTAAGTTATCTCTGAAAATAACTGTTCATTTTCTGAGCTAATGCAAAGCTTGGAAAATAATCCCACACTCTATGCTTCCAAGCACCCAGAATCAAACTCTGATTTTGTTTCCTAGTTTAGAGTTGACGATTAAACCACAGTTTCCTGACTGGGATATAAAGGGAAACTGTGGCTTAATGAGTATGGAGGTCTTTCATTAGATCCTATGAGTAGTTAGAGGAGGGAGCATAAATGTTTTTGCAGAACACTTAAGTTCAAATCAAAAGCTACTAAGTTATTAAGTTAGGCTATAAAGTGGAGGTGGAACATGTGGGGCTGATGGAACCCAACAATCAGCTAATCTTGCTTCTGATATTGTTAGACCCCATCTTACATCAACCCCAGCAAGCTTGCCTAAAATTAAAAGGTCAAGGATGGTGAGAGATGGAGCCCAGCAACAGCTGGAAGGGCACAAGTTTCTCACCCCACTTTATAGATTTCCATTCATTTTTTTTAAAAAAAGTTTAACTAAGAACATTCATTTCACCCCTTTTTCTTCCAAGGAAACTTTCGAGCCTCGAGTACCTGGATTTGTCCAGCAATAACCTTTCCCAGATCCCAAGTGGCTTACCTCGAAACATCGTCCTTCTCCACCTAGAGAAGAATGCAATTAAGTCAATAGGCAGGGATGTCTTGACCCAGATCAAGAACCTGGAATACCTTCTGCTTCACAATAACAAGTTGAAGGCCCGGGGGATCCACCCTCAGGCTTTCCATGGCCTGAAGAAGTTACACACAGTCCACTTGTACAACAACCAGCTGGAAAAGATCCCCAGTGGGCTGCCCAGACGGGTTAAAACTCTTATGATTCTTCACAACCAGATATCGGAAATTAACAGAAATGATTTTGCTACCACTTATTTTATGGAGGAGCTAAACCTTAGTTACAATAAGATCACCAGCTCACAGATTCATCGGGAGGCTTTCCGTAAGCTGAGGCTACTGAAATCTTTGGATCTTTCAGGCAATAATCTCAATACCATGCCTTACGGCTTCCCAAAGAACCTGCTAAGCCTGAAACTGAAAGTGAACGAGATCAGCTCTATTCCCAGGCACACGTTATCTGGGATGTCAAAGCTGCAGGAGCTGTATTTGAGCAACAACAAATTGAAAGTTGGTTCAATATACAGTGGGTCGTGGCAGGATCTCACCAGTCTCAAGGTACAAGCATGTCACTGATATTGTGCGACTATTTCATTTAGACATAAACACAGAAAAAAGTGTAAGAAATTCTACCAGGATGGCATAGTATTGGTGCAGAAAAGCTATATGTTTTGGAAGTTGGTTTTCACATGGGATGTTGGAGAATTCCATCAAAAACAGAAACAAGAGTGGAAATCCCCACAGTTTGCATGTTCATTAGAGGTTAGGAACAGAAATCACATAAGTGAATATGAGCAGTGTTCAGTGTCATTGGGTTTTTCTGTACACAAATGTTAAGTACATAATTACATTATTTGCTGTATTGTGTTTGTCATTTACCTTCCAATGAAATGCATTTAAATTAATTATGTAATTAATTTCCTAAGTTTCGGACACAGCAGATAGTGAGACTAATAATAACATAGATTTTAGTGAAAGCTGAACTGCAGTGCAAAGGAAACAGTGCTGACTGCAATGGACCCAGGATGGAACGGAAGTCACTGCCTCCTTACATCTCTACTTTTCACTCAGATGACAAGCCTGTAGAGCGGTTTCCAGATATGAAAAGAAGAAAAATATCAGAAGTTTTCTCAGGAAAAGGTGTCTTCAGAGATATTTAAGCTCAGCTCTAGAACCTACTGGTTTCCTGAGACAGGATGGTCAATGGAAGACTCCAGCATCTGCACAGATTTCTTATGTTGCTCTTCCATAAAGATCTATTGAGAAGGTCCTGCTGGCATAAAGTTTAGAGAACCAGGGTTATATGAAAATACATTCTTGGTGGCTGCTTCACAGCCATTAAACTCTCCTGGAGACCCCCCAGATTCTGAACCTGAGCTTTTTTGGGGAAGCATTGCAAACCCTTGTCACTAAGTATAGCTTTCTGTAACTTTGGTTAAAACGGTAGAGAGGAGAGAATATGTTAAAATGGCTCTCACACTAGGCTCTATAGTTCATTAAAACACACACACACACACACAAAACTTTGTGGTCTTGCCATCTATATAAAAAAGTTAGTGGTTATTGAAGACACAGATGACACAGACACACTGCCCCACCCCGCCCCACCCCTGCCAGATGAGACAGGTGAGAAACAGTAAGTTAATGAATATGGGTTTAGGTGTCAACCATGGGTTTTATTGTTATTTATTTTGCCTTTTAAACAACTCTGCTTTTCTTGGCTCCAGTTGGGACCAAAAAGCAAAAGTGCCCAAGTGGCATATTTAGCCAGAAACTGGCTGAACTAGTTTTTCATAGAAAGATGTTTTTGCGTGATTTCCAGCTCTGTTTCTCCAAAGCCAAATATATTGAGTAATCTTTGTGTGAGAGCTTGAACTTCTGGCTGCTTCTCCAGTCTGCTGATTCCAGTCTGGAATGTTCTTCAGAAAGGCAGAATCCTTTCATTATATAAATTTAATATTTAGCTCATTTTATTTTGAGTAAGGCCCTGTAGGAATTGGGGGGAATTGGAGCACTGCCTTTTGCAGAGCTTTGCTTTGCCTATACCCATAGGATATTTTTTTGGGGGGGGGAATTGTTTGTTTAATAAATTTCTGAGAAGACAGACAATGACACTGTTTAAAGAATGACGCTTGTTCTAAGAACAGGAGCAATTTAAGCCCCCAAAGATCTGCTCACTCGACACTTTCCCAGATTGAGGGTGGATTTTTCATGATCACAATCATTTAACATCACCAGTCCTGAAAAAAACCAGCCTGGGAGGAATTCAGCATTGCTCTATGTGTAAATCATTATGTCAGCGCAAACATTTCAGCTTGCTAGGTGGAATTATCTCCCCATGGGCTGTTCCTTTTTTCGTATTAATATATACATAAACACACACACACACATTGGATATTCATTTAATTCCTGATGTTCATCGTAAATTTTATATTAACTTGAACCTTGCATAGCCTATGATGTAAGTTAATTGGAGTTGAATTACCATACGATCAATGTTAATGTTGGCTAATGGCTAACTTCATCACCTCAACAGTCAATCAATGAGGCAGAAGTTAAAGTGAATACACATTTCAGCTGTACCCACTTAGCAGACAGTTAAGATCAAACTTTGACGGTGGTGGTAGCTGACTAAAAATATAAGCAAAGATGTAATCATGTTAACAATAGTCTAAAAATAAAAATAAATCCGATATTGAGACAATCTGCAGGAAGTCACTGAAAGCAAGACCACTTCACAAAGATAGCAAGTAAGCAAACTCTGGGCTGGTTGAGTCCTCAGCCCACTTGTAGCACATTTCTCCACCACCCCTACACCTCACAGAGCTGCAATTCCTTTCCCTCCCCCCCACCTTAGCAAACTACAGTTCCCAGGATTCTTCAGGGGAAGTCATGGACTTTAAATGTATGGTGTATACGCAGACTTAGACTTACTTGCAAGTAAAGAAGTGCTTTCTTCTATAATAACATTTGTTTCTCTGTAAAAATGCTTCATGCAAGTATATGAATTGTGCTCTTCATGAACGACCTCACTGGCCCAGGCTGGAGAGGTTACTGTGAGACAGCTCACTCAGGAGGTTAGTACAGTGATACCTCAGGTTAAGAACTTAATTCGTTCTGGAGGTCTGTTCTTAACCTGAACCACCACTTTAGCTAATGGGGCCTCCCGCTGCCGCCGTGCTGCTACTGCACAATTTCTGTTCTCATCCTGAAGCAAAGTTCTTAACCGGAGGTACTATTTCTGGGTTAGTGGAGTCTGTAACCTGAAGCGTCTGTAACCTGAGGTACCACTGTATCTGTGTTTGGAGAATATTCAAGTTTTTGCCTGGGGAAAAGCCCTCCAAGTCCACAGTAGGAGCAAACAAGCTTCAAATGCATAATTTGAAGTCACAAGTCACTAGGCCATTCTCTTCCCCGTGCCCTACTCACGTGTCCAGAATTCTGAGAATTCTCAGAATTCTGAGCATCAAATGCCAAACACTGTTGTGCGTGCTCCAGATTCAACAGCAGCTGCAGTTGTTACTGTTCAGCTGTCCAGGCTGTCAGAACAAAGCTACAGGAAATGGGCCAAGAGGAAGAAAGCTGATGCAGAGGCAACCAAGGAGGGAAGCTGGGACTGCTGCTCACTTGTTGCTATGGCCACATTTCCATACAAATGTCCAACATTAGGTGGGCCAAAAGGAAGGGTAATTGACTAGGACGAGAGACAGGGACCTAAAAGAATGGTTTACAAGGCACAGGAGAACATGCAATAATCCAAAGGACCAGAGAAGGTGAAAGCAAGGGCCAAAGGAAATAAAGCTGGGCAAAAGACAACTGGGAAAGGGAAAGATGCTACATATTCAGCTACAGGGCACTGATGTGGCCACATTAATGAACTTGCTTCCAACCATTTTGTGGGCATCTCACCAGGTGCATGTAATGAAATTAGGCTGCAATCCTAGTATACCTCCCTGGGAATAGGGGAGAAATCCATTTCAGTTCACACTTAAAGGCAACCTTACCTAATTTGTGCTTTCCAAAACAATACACACAATGCTTGTTTTGCATGGGGGTTGCGTCCTGGACCCTGTGCATGTTGGCAGGACCTGCATAAAGAGTTCCACCAGTTGTACCCTTGCTTACACAAATTTCAAGTGCCTAGGTACTCAACATTTTTGTACAGTATAATCAATCTAGCCCATTTCAAAGCAAACTTATTTCCATTAATTACTTCCAACTAATGTTGTGCTGTCTGTTTTTCCTTTCAGATATTAGACATAGCTGGCAATCAGCTGACTTCTATTCCCTCTGATTTGCCAGAATCTCTAGAGTATCTGTACCTCCAGAACAACAAGATTACCACAGTGCCAGAGAATGCCTTTGAATCCACACCCAACATAAAGGGAATTTATCTCAGGTTTGTAGTCCACAAAAAAGGTTCCCCTGCCTGACCGAGATGCATCCAGTCAAGGGCAAACCTGAGAAAACTCTTCTTTGGAACACCTAAAGTGTTTAGACAGGCCTGGTGGGATTTGTTGCATGTTAAGTTGAACAACGGAAGACCACCCACTCAGTGCTGTATCTAAAATTGCCATTAAGAGTCTCCTCAGTTTTATAAGCGGTTGGTTATGTGGCATGAGGAGATGCAATTCAAGAAGTCCCAAAGCCCTCTTGGTCATGCAGAACCTAGCTGTGTGATTGTTGAATTCTGGCCTTAGCACTTTGCAGGTAACCAGGGTACAAATGACCAATGATCCAAACGTTCAGATTACTTTTGCTAATCCAGATGTGAACATAAGGAGAGTTCTACTGGATCAGACCAAAAGTCGATCTAGCCCAGCATTGTGCTTTCACAAGTGGCCAACTAGATGCCTATGGGAAGCCTATAAGCAGAACATGAGCATGATAGCATTCTCCGAATCATAGGTAAAGGTAAAGGGACCGCTGACCATTAGGTCCAGTCATGACCGACTCTGGGGTTGTGGCACTCATCTCACTTTATTGGCCGAGGGAGCTGGCGTACAGCTTCCGGATCATGTGGCCAGCATGACTAAGCCACTTCTGGCAAACTGGAGCAGGGCACAGAAACACTGTTTTCCTTCCCGCCGGAGGGGTACCTATTTATCTACTTGCACTTTGACGTGCTTTCGAACTGCTAGGTTGGCAGGAGCAGGGACCGGGCAGGGACCAAGCTCACCCCATCGCGGGGATTCGAACCACTGACCTTCTGATCGGCAAGTCCTAGGCTCTGTGGTTTAACCCACAGCGTCACCTGTGTCCCTAATCATGTTCTGCAGCAACTGGTATCCAGATGCATTCTGAATTATGACTAGTTAACCAAGTTGGGAGCCATCACTAAATTTTGTGAAAGTGAGTTCCATCATTTAGCTATGCAGTCCTTAAGGAAATACTTCATTTTGTCTGTCTAGGAGACTAGATGGATTGTCTCTATCAGGGCTGTCCAGAAGGTAGATCAGGATCTACTGGTAGATCTTTGGGTTAATAACAGTTTGATTATGATGGAACAACCTCCCCCCTCACTCCTCCTGCATGTGTTCTCCTAGTGGTTCTCCTGACGTCCCCACAGCTAATTGAGGGGACTTGGGGGTGAGGAGAATTGTACAAACAGGAGCACTTGCACTGGCTCCTTCTAGTGGGACTACTTACTAAGTTCTAACACCAGAAACTCTCTTTTTTTATCTTCAAGGTTTAACAAGATTGCATTCAATGCAGTAAAAGAAAGCACATTCCAGAGGCTGAAACATCTACAGGTGTTGGACATAGAAGGAAACTTTGAATTCAGCGACCCTTTGAAGAATAGGGACCATTCGGAGGAGGAAATGGAAGAGGAGGAGGAGGAGGAAGAACAGGAGGTCGAGGAATAATGAAGATAAACTTCGATTGAACCAAGTGTATCACATGGTAGAAAATTACTTTCAATGCTATTCTAGTTATACTGTCTCTTTACACAACCTGCTTTTCTACGGCACCCCCAGCCTGTACATAAAATAATATTTGTGACCCAATTCTGTTAGTGGTTGGGTTGACAGATAAAATATATGAAGGTGCATGAATGTGTGCTGGTACAATGTCAGAAGTGGATACATCACCAGGTGACCAAGTGTTGCATAGGGATAGCAATATGTGTCCGAACAGTAATGCCTAATCCCTTGTGGCTTTTTGGAATGGCACAGTTAACTCATACCTGGTGCTTGTATGTTTGCTGTAGTTACATCAGTTTTCATTCCTGATCCTGTAGCTCAGGTGTACTTTCAGTTCATAACCACTGTGGGATAGCATTATTCCTGTATGAGTGTGTCCCGGGAGCTTAGAAAACAGCCTCTCTGTGGCTACCTCTATGCACTGGCCATACTTGCAACGGCACATAAAGAGGTATTTCTGTGGCTGCTGTGCAGCATAAAATGTAAGAAGCTGTTGTCTCCTGAATCAGATGAACCTTTGGTCCATCTAGCTGAGTGCTGTCTACACTGATTGGCAGCAGCTCTCCAGTGTTTTTGAAAGGAGTTTCTCTGGCATCTAGCTGGAGATGTCAGGAGTTAAACCTGAGCCTTTGGGCATGCAAGTGCTCTACCACTGAGCTATATAGCCCTTTCCCAGTTTTTAACACTTATTTTTTCCTGAGTCTGGGGATTATTTAGAAGACTTGTTTTTATTCAAGCTTTTTCCCCCTTTTTTGTTTTTAATGAGATTCTTAAGTCCTTTGCTTCTGATTTCCTTGTTACTAACCACCCTAGATAACTGAAACAAAAAAAATTCCTTCCAGTAGCACCTTAAAGACCAACTAAGTTAGTTCTTGGTATGAGCTTTCGTGTGCATGCACACTTCTTCAGATACACTGAAACAGAAGTTGCCAGATCCTTCTATATAGTGAGAAGGTGGGGAGGGGTATTACTCAGAAGGGTGGTGGGAATGGGTGATTGGCAGATAGCTGTGATGAACCTGTTGACGACTCTTAACGACTGCAATAGGTCTTACAGGAAAAAGCAAGGGGTGAGAAGGTGAAAAATGGCTTTGTCATGTATAATGAGATAAGAATCCAATGTCTTTGTTCAGACCAGGTCTCTCCAACACGGCTACCTATCTGTACCTAGATAACTGGATAGAGCAGGCTTTATAAAATCTAAACGAATACATTTCTGCCTTGAGTTCTGATTCTTTGCTTAGGTTCTTGACTGCATTTTGAAAGGTAGCTGCCAGCGTTACGAACTGGGATAAAAATAAATGAATAATGAGCTGGGATGAACATGCAACAAATACATGATTGAAATTTTGATTCTCATGTTTTTCAGGAACTCCTTCAGCAAAGCGGCATGCATCCCTGTGTTTATGTATCTATATATATCTGTATCTCCATAGATATACAGAGAGCAAACAGTGCAATGAATTTCATGCAGGCGGTTGGCTCATGTGATGGTGCTTGGCCAGGCCAGCTGAAGAGAGTCTGCTCATGTTGGGGGAGACCCCCAAGTGCCACCCCATGTCTTATACTTCATCTTGTCCAAGTACTTTCTGGATCATCAGGGATTCTGGGGGAATTTTCAAAAGCTGGCTTTTGTCCCCCTTCTGTCACTTCTCTCACAGTTTTCCTATGCAAATGAAAGTGAAACTCTTTAGAGCAAGTTCCCTCAAACAGTGTTTCTGTGTCACTGCATTTCAATGAACCACTGCGCTCAGTGATGGGAGAAGGGAGAGCATCCCGTGTGGTTTTGTTTTGTAGAACAACCTGAGGCATCTCAGATGACAATAAGACTGACTCACCACACTGGACATTTCTGTCCCCTTTTTTGGTTCAGTTCAGTATGTATATTTGGATTAAGAAAGAAATCCTATTACGGCTGGATCCCATATATAATTTATCCCCATTCCCAAAGCCTGCAATATGCACCCACCTTTATGAAGGTTTAAAATATCAAATTATTATGTTTTGTGAAAATTAAAATATATTTTTGCCTTTGAGAGATTTGTTCCTTTGTGTGTGTGGGAGCTGGGCGGTTGCTAATATCCCTTGGACAAAAGAAATCATAGGGACATATAAAATTAGTCCATCTAACTAACTTTATTGGTCTTCAGTTAGTGGGTCGGGACCTACCACTGCATTACAGTCTGACCTAAGGCGGGTCACAACAACACTGTACAAATATAGGATAAAGAGAAGTGGATCCTCAAGTACATTTTTGGAATGTAGCTCTCCCTACTTTTTCTTTAAGAAATATTGTCTTTGATGCCTCTTCTCATTTGGGTTCTCAGCTTCCACACATGGGCACACACTGAGAAACAGTGTTTGTTGACAAATCATGTCTTACGTTAGCTTGTTCAGGCTGCCTAACAAATGGGTAGATCCACACCATCCATGCAGAGAACATTCAAAGCCCATGACTTGCCTCATAGAATCCTGGGAACTGTAATTTCCCCTTCACCAGGCAACAGTTCCCAGCAGCCTTAAGAGAACTACAGGATCCTTTGGGGAAAGTCATGTGGTATAAATGTGTGTTGAATGTGCATGTGACTCTAACTCTGGAAATCTGATTTTACAGTGGAGAGTTCTTTCTTTTTACAGCTCACAGCCTTATTTGAAGTTCCTGTGTGGGACTTAGCAAAGAGCTTGGAACAAGAGGAGCATTTGAAATCCAGAAAGAGAAGTTTCTAACTGTAGACCAGCAGGGAAAACACCTGATAAAAATCTGTGCCAACCAACCTTGCCAATAAATCTTGACTTTAGGATGGCCAGCTACTTCCTTTCCAACCTGGGCCTCTCCAAATGATCATGTTATTGCACAATGCAAATGCAGCTGTTACTCAATTGACCAAAGGATATTGGGGGGAGGGGGGTGTTTCTGTTGTAGGGACGCCTCATGTTTCTTAACCCTTTAACTGTAATATTTTCTTTAGGAAATGTAATATCTGCTTGCAACTACAGAGCCACTTGCAATCTCTGAAGGGCAGGGTAGAATGTGGGTGCAAAGTTTCATTTTGATGAGTTTCAGTGATACCACCAGTGCACTATTTCAAAATTTTGATGCACATGGTCACAGATTATGGGAATTGTAGCCCAAAACATCTGGAGGACAGCATGTTAGCTGCTCCTGTGCTATATTTCAGCTCAGTAGTAAAATTCCTGCTGCTTTTTCCTTAAATTCACCAAAAAGTTCACTATGTGTGTAAGTGTGTGTGTTTGTTTAGACTTTGGGCTCCAGACAACCTCTTTATTGAGCATTCAACCTGATTTGCTTGCACAATGCTTATGTGTTGGTTAGACTCTATCTAGTCTTTATTGAGGACTGATTTTGATTTGTTTCGCAGGACAGTTATTCATCCAGCATCCATCCAGATCTGCAGGGTGTGTTCACATCTCTCTGTTAATCATTAGTTTATCTCACACATTTCACCTTCACTTGCATTTTTTTAAAGCAAATTTGCTGAGCTAGGACAAGAGTGCTTTAATTATGCCAGCCTAAAAGTTTGACATGCACTTGAATTCTTCCTGCAAAGTACCAACATCCTGGAGACACCCATACATTGTGATAGACCTCTATGTACATCTTGTTTCTTCTCTGTGTGTCACATGTAGCCTAGATATCTTTAGCAGCCACAAAGAACACAATACACAACTTGATCCCAAAGTCCCTTAAGTTAAGCCCAGAGAAGCTGAGCTGTGGTAGTCCTAAAGCTAAGGGCCTCATTTGTAATCCCCTTTGCCAAAGGCAGCACACTTCCAGCCCTGACCATCTGCTCACAATACAGCACTGCTGCTATTAGTAGAAGAAAAATCTGTATAACAATGGGTGTAAACAACCCTTTTAGCCAGATGGGTTGGTTTTTTTGTGTGTGTTTTTTTGTCTAATATATATTTAGATGCTCAATAATATTGTGACACCAGTACCCAATTTTATTTGTTATTTGCTCAATTTATTTAGCTGGAGTTCATCAAAATATTCCAGGGTGGCATGCATAATAAATACAAGAATAAATACAATGAAATCATATCAGTCAGATCTCACAACAGCTAAATATATCACAATATCTGATGCTAGAATACATCAAACATTCACAGATCCTTGGGTAATGAGATGTGTCTTCAGGCTCTGTCTAAAACTGAGAACTAAGGAGACCAATCAGATGTCCTGGGGTTGGCATTCCAAAGATGGGATGCCACCACCCAGAAGACCCTGCAGTGCATCAGCCTGTGGTGAACTCCACGTATTGCTGGGGCTGCAGCAGCCTCCCACCTGGGCAGTTCTTAAGGCTTGGGTTGGTAGATATCAGGACAGGCACTCCTTCAACTATCTGAGACCCAGTAACCTTAAACTGGGCCCAGGAAGCTATTGGTGCCAGTGTAGTGTGTGCAGGGTCAGTGCTACATGACTTCAAATAGCATACCACTCAGCACCCTGACAGCTGCATTCTGCAGCAGCTGCAATTTCTGAAGCATCTTCAAGGTCAGTCCCATTTAGAGCACAGGACAATAAACTAATTAGTAAAGCATGAAGCACCATGGCAAGGCTATCCTGATTCAGGAATGCTGTTGCTTGTGTCTCACTGGGTGTTGGAAAGAGGGCCTCTATGAAAGAGATGAATCCCGAAGTACTCCCAAGCTGTGTACCTGCTCTTTCATGGGGAGTGCACCCAGGACATCTTCCCTGTTCCTGGACATGAGAACTATCCATGCCTCTGTCATGTTGATGCCCCTTTGTTGACTCTCATCCAGCCCCTTTCTGCCTCTGCACTGGCCCAGCACCTGAGGAACCCCATCTGATTCTGATGACATGGAGAGATAGATGCTGGTGATGCTGCGCCCCAGGTCCTCAGATGACTTCTCTCAGTGGCTTCAAGTAGCTGTTAAGAAGCAATGGGGTGGCAAGAGGTTGAACAATGGCTGAGCAGAAGTCCTCCACTGCCACTCTCTGGAAATATCCCTGCAGGTAGGAGGGGAACCATTTCCCACTCCTGCAGATATACTCGGGGGAATACCATGGTTGATGGTATCAAAGGCTGTTGAGAGATCAATGAATAACAACATTGTACTCTTCCTGTCTCTCTCTCAATACAAGTAATAAGGGAGATCAGGGCTGTTTAAGTCCTGAAACAAGGCCCAAAGCCAGCTTGAAATGAGTCCTCTGTGGTGCCATAGTAACCTTGCTTCTGGTATGAATCTAGGCCTCCTCATTCTAAGCTTCAGTGCCTAGCAGCTATGGAAGAGTACAATGGGTAGAAGGCAGACATCACAGTGTACTAGGCTGGCTAGCTGGCTTCCTATACTCCCTGGAGCCAGCCACCTGACTTACTGCTACCACTAGCCCAATAGTTCTCTCCTCTGAGCAGTCCTCGCCTCCCTTGCAATCACGCCAGATGCTAGCAACTGGAGTAGTGTATTAGGCAGGTGTGTGTCTGTGTGTGTGTGTGTGTGTGTGCAAATGGTTTTATGAGAGAGTATGTTTGTCTGTTGGTATGAAAGGGTTTGTGTGTGCGTATAGCAAGTAAATATTTGTCAGGGGCTTAATTCCTTGAAGTTATGCCATGTTGTGATGACCTGTATTCTGTGGTTAAATTGGCTCACTTTTGCTTTGCATTGGTTTTGAAATCTCTGCAATAGGTTCACTGTCCTTTGCACACAAGAAATGCTTAGCCTACGTGTTTCTCATGTGTAAAACGAGTAAATATTATTGTTAAGAAATTAAATATTTAGATTACGTTCTAGGCAACCATTTAGTAAATAGTTTGCAATAATGTCTTCTAAATGCTTGATTCCTTAGTACTATGCTGCAAATGTGTGTGTAACACATTTGACTTCAATCCTATAAACACCAGGGAGTAAGGTCCGCTCAACTTAATGGGACTTACTTCTCAGTAGACATGCATAGGCTTGTGCTATTGATGTATAATCTGCAGGTCAGCTTCATTTGGTTGAATTGTGCTCTTTTAGTCCATGGTGGTGAGAGGACTTATAAGCATAGTCTTCAGCTTTATACCTTAGATGAACGGGTTATTTTCAGTGAGGTCTGCCCTTTGCTACTGGGCTTTCCTCCTGGATGCATAGATTCTACTGTCTTTTGACACTGCTGGGCTAAAACTCTGTGTCTTAGAAGCTTTTGATTAAAGTAATAAATAAACGTGTCTCATCTTGCATTGGCTTACAAAGACAATTAATTATTCCTTCTCTCTTTTTCTTTAAGCATACCGTTGTAAGCAGACAAGCAAGGATTAACAAGCAAAGTTGTTCATATAATTTTAACACAGGATTATCCTCCTGGGAACCACGGTGTGGAATTTTTCAGGCTTTTTATCTTTGGAGATGACTCTCTGCATTCTTGCTTGCCTTGCTCCACACCCACTTTCCTTTGTAGAAGACGCTGGGATGTGTTCTCAGGTGCACAGTCAGCACAGGTCAGGCCTGGGAGACTTCATCATTGCTCACATCAGAGATGGGGAAACTGTGGATCTTCACGTGCTGTTGCATTTCAACTCCAGTCAGACCCAGCCAGCATGACCAGTGGTCACAGAAGATGGGAGTTGTAGTCCAACAACTTCTGGAGGCCCATAGGTTCCATATTCCAGCCCATTGTGAATTGAGATTGCTACAGCTGCAGCTTGCAGGGGAAGATTAGTAGCCTAGTGATAGGCAAGCTGTCTTTTAGCCATGCTTGTCTACCAGTCATGTTTATCAGTCATGAATCTTTGCTAAGCTTCTGAGGAACAGTGGAGTTCCCTGGAGCATGGTTTTATAAGTATTGGGTTAGTAGGTCAAAATAATGCCGCATCATTATTGGAATCGTTGTTGTCCCATAAAACGTCACTGGGAAACAGGAGAATTCTAAGTTTGAGCCGCGTGCTAGATGGCTGCCTTTAGTTCACTCAGGAATAGATGAGCAACCAGCCAGATACACTTAAAAACCACATGAGAGGAGAAGGAAGTGAACTGTTCCTGTCTCTGTCCCCCCATCCTGACCTTCGCTCATCCTTGACCTGCCTGAAATTAGAGCAGGGAAAGAAATATCTGTGGAATAGCTATAACAACCCTTTTTTGTGCCTCAGCCTAGCTACTCCTAGAACAGGGAAGGAGTGGCTTCAATATGTGGCATGTTCTCCCTCTCTCCCTCTCTCTGTTTAACTAAAATCTGTACAGCCCACCAACACATCCACTTTAAAAAAACAAGAATGAACACTCAGAATCTCTTGACAGTTAATCAGTAGCTAATGTATGTGAAGTGACCCTGAGTTTGCACCCTTACGTAAGAATATTGAGTGCTGGGGCCCACACAGTCACCCAGCATTCTTTGGAAGAAGCCCAGAAGCCCATAGAAAGTAGGTGACCCACTGGAATTTGGCCAGTGGTCCACTACTAAGTTGACGGTGGCCTGCTTTTGACCTTCCCCTGCTGTAGAACAAAGGAGACAAACTGTGATGTAGTCACTGACTTGTGGAAGATACATTTATTGATCCTAGACAGCATCCCAGAATGCCTGAGTTTTAACTGCAGTGCAGCTAGGATACCTTGACTTAACATGGAATTAGAAAGACAAAGGGAATTCTGGGATAATATTGGGTATTAAATAATAGTTTTCATCTCGTAAACTGAATCATGTCTATTGTTTCTTAGGCTCTCAGTACATCAAGACACAACATGCGGATCTTGAGTCAGGGGTGCAGTTCAGCTCCCAGAAAGTTAAAGAAAATTAGTAAAAATAGCATTGAAACAAATTCCTATCATGCACATACACTTGGGCGGGTCCACTCATCACTTTCCCCCAGCTACATATGCAATCTAACTGGAGAGAGGCTAGAGGGAATTTGCAACACCTAGTCTGCTGCAGGAAATATTGGAAATCTCTCAGACAGGCATTGAAAGCTGCTGCCGAATTCACTTTTATTGCTCCATTTGTAAGGCAAATGAAACTCCAGCCTAAAGTTTTCCTAATAATGAATTCTTGGAGTGTTGCATTGCCTATTTAATTGATCTGATTTCCTCTATTATTTTCTCCATTTAGTATTTCCCTCTCCTGTTTTTCCTTCCTGCGTTCTCCAAGCCTGTTTATATAAAATGTAAATTACTTTTTCAGTTTGGGGGTGGGGTTTAAGGCAGAAGGAAACAGCAGCAAACCTTGCCAATTCAAAGCTATTTCCCTTCCATTGAGCGGTATGGTATCTCCCGTACAGAATGCAGTTGTGATTTGCAGATGGTTTGCTTTATATTATCTTCTGAGCCTGCGGGGATCACATGTTTGTTGTCTCCTGGAAAACATATGAGAAGCATTTTCACCAGTACAAAGTGTCTACACATACCACTTACATAATCAACAGCTGCAGTGATATATTGCAGGAAAACGAGACCCGAGCCATATGCTTTAATGTGAGACTGAATTCACAGTTTGCCTACCTATCAGGGCCCCCTCTTCCACACTACTGAAATGGTTTCTGTTGGGTGTGCGCAAATAGAGAATAGAAGCAAATTCTGTGGCAGCCATATGTTTCAGGACTCTAACTATAGATCTCTTAAGCAGTAAACTGTGGGAAATTATAATTGTGGAGAGACATGCACCAAATCCATGTCATAAAGGAATTTTGCAGAATGGAGTGGTTTTGATTTCATACTAATAAGAGTGATATAATAAAATAATAAATGCTACTAGTATGACTAGTATAAGGACAGTTTCAGCCCAGTATGTATCTGATGAAGTGTTCTGCAGTCCACAAAAGCTTATGTCAAACAGTTTAGTCTTTAAGTGCCCAAGACTCTGCTGTCCTATGCAATGGTATCTCACAATTCAGGCAACTTTCTCTGCATCAACCAAAAAAGCTCTTGCTTATTCTAGAATGATCTGTGTCATGTCCAAGAGCGCACTCGGTTCACCTGGGCCACTGTTGGGCCTCACTACTGTCCACTGTTAACTGAGAATGTGTGTTAGAAAACATCTAGCATTCTCTTACAACCGTGCACGCCACTGGAAAATTAGTAGTTATGTACACAAATTAATTTTGTCCCCCATTAGTTATCTTCTCATTGAGGAACTCAAGGTTCCCCAGAAACACTCTGAAAACCACTTGGTATGTAACATTTAACTGTATTTGATTGTTGGCAAACAGTAGCTTTTAATATTGAACAATATTTGGTAATTATGATGCAATGGTATTAATCTGACATTATTTCATTAACATGTAATTATATGTAGTATCTGACAACTTGTTAGATTTCATATGCAAACCCTGCAAAGATCAAGACAATTGAGAGATGGCAGCATGTCCAAAGTATTCAAATTTAAATTTTCCAATAATAATAATAATAAATCCTCTTTGAGAATGCAAATTTGAAAGCTATATTCAAAATATCTAATTCAAGAGCTGTAGAACATCTTGTCAGATATCTGAAAATATTAATCTCTGTTTGAAGGTGAAAAATCATCTCATTTAAGTAGCACATAGGCAAACCTCTTCACAACGGTATGTTTATTGAAAACATTTCCCATTGAAAACACTGGTAATCAATATATGGTACAATTGGTCATACTGGTTGTACAGGGAGAGTTGTTTTATAATTTAAGGATTCGAGAAATAAAGAAAACATTCTTAAAGTATCTCAACCTATATATAAAAATAAGAAGCCAGGGTCCACAGCAAATTCCCACCAATATAAAAATGTTAGGGGTGGCTTTGATGTGGCAAAGATCGTGTCATCGTTTCCTCCTTCCCCCAAAGGCCCCGTCTCTATTTCTCATCAAACGATGTGACATAAAAGTTCCTCCCTCCCTCCAATGAAGGAATAAGGCAGGGGTGGGAGACCAGCAAAACGCCAGCGTAGTGAGTGATCCATGAGAAAGTTTTTTTAAAAGAAAGGAAGGAGAAGTGAAAGAAAAGAGAACGAAAGCAGATGCAGAGAGAACTGTGAAGTCAGCTCAAAGTGAACAGAAGGGTTTAGGGAAACAATCTTCTGTGAAGGACCTCTCTTCTCCAAAGCAGGCACTGAAAAGGAGAATAGCTTCCAGTCTCAGAAGCAGGCAGCTTTCCAATCACTCAGTCACCTCTTCTTCAGAATCTGATCCTAAGTCACGGCCTACCAGATGAACCTGCTGATCCCACATCTGCTGCCTAGAGGCAGAAGAGAAAAGGGTTCCCACACTTTTAACAGTTGTGCAGAGGAGAATTTTGGCAGATGTACCTTGTCATCATGCAGGGGGCAAGAATAAAGCTATGTCACCTGCTAGGTTTCTAATACATTTTTATTCTGCCTTTCTAAGGAGCTTTAGGTGGCACACTTGGTTCCTCCCCACCTTTCTAATCTCAATAATTTTTTTAGGCTGGGTGACACCAAATGGCCCAACCCTAGCTAGAAAGCTTCCGGAGTGAGAGGCATTTGAACCCGACTCTCCTCAGTCACAATCCTTGGGTTGTAGACACCTAACTTTTACTCAGAAGAAACCCACTGAAATTAAGTTCAATATGGTCATTAATCTCAATGGGCCTACTCTGAGTAAAAGTCACTTGAATCCAATCCCTACATCACACTAGCTCTCAGAGTGGAATCAATTCCATCTTCTGTGCAACAAGACTATGGGAGTCTTGGCCGCCTCTAATAACCTTCTGCCAATTAGACTGAGAAATTGGCATAGCCGACTCAACAGCCACAGTCTTCCCCCATCCTTCAAGCTGCTTCGACTTCAAATGACTGCCATTCCCATTATTAGAAGCACAGGAATGTGTGGCTGGATACTTGGAATGGAGCTGAAGGTCTAGCCGTGTGTGTGTGTGTGTGTGTGTGTGTGTGTGTGGAGCATGGTTATTAATTCAGAAAAACAAGTTTAAGGATGGGAGTTCACAAGAACATTTACTATGGAAGTGAGGACAACGTTACAATGAAAATGTGCCAGTCATGTACACTGGATCCCAGCCTATGTTTAGTCTGCTCTCTGACCACAAGCTCTATATTAGTCAAACGATCTGGGCCATAAACGTCATGGTATATATACAGTCTATACAAAGAAGAGAACGTTACGTACTCTTCTGTAGCACCAGGTTTTGTGTGTGTGTTTGGACTCCTGCAGTCTAGATGCTGTGGATGCTGTTATAGAATGGAACAAGATTTTTTAAAACGAAGGAAAAAAGAAGAAGAGAAGCACATGCATCTGGCACTTGGAAGGCAAACATGATGGGATATTTGTAGACTAGCTTAATGCCTACCTTTGAGACCCTCTTCCAAATAACAGGTTTGTTAAAGAAACAAACAATCTTCTCATTAGTTCCAAAAAGGTAATATACATGGCAACATACACATGAAAAACTTAAAAAAGCCAAGTAACAAACATTCTGTATTGCAAAAAAAGTAAAAGAGAAAAGGATTTTGAGAATCCCTGATTTGCACAGATCCCCTTTTTTGTACTCAGTCATTACCATCACAGCCAACAGTGATATAGGAGAATGCAGCTACTGAAATGCAATGAAATTGCCATATGGCTCCTCTAGAAAACCAGCTTATTGAGTTTGCTTGCACAAAGCTTATGCAGAGGTTAGATTATAAGTGGCCTTTATTGAGTATTCATTCTGTCTTATTTGCAGGGCAGTTATACAACAATGAGTATCAGTCCTGCATTCATCCTGATTTGCTGTCACGATATTTATACATCTTCCCGTTAGTTATTTGTTCGTCCCTCACTTTTCAATACATTTCTGTCAGTTTCCAAACTGCAAAGGGTCTGATTCTTAAAAAAAAAAAAAAGATTTGATGTGAAGTGGTCCTTTAAACCACTTTAACTGCACAAATCTAGAGTGCTTGAATTCTTCTCACAGAATAGTGAGTCAACCTGAGTACAGAGAAACTAATATTTCAACAGAATAATGGATAGCATGGAGAGTTAAATTGCAATTCAGAGTGGTTTGCTACATAATAACTTACTGGCGTGATTCACATGAACCACTGTTTCATATGACACACATGAGTCATATGAGTCTTCTCTTTCCTCCTCTGGCATGCTACAAGGAGGAGATGGGAAGCATCCCCCTCCATTTTAAATTAACCGTGGTTTGTTTTTATGTCCCAACCAGGAACTGTGGTTAGCATTCCTATCATTTATTGAAATAAGCCAGGATCAATAACCATGGTTTAAAGTTGAGTTCTTTCAGTAAACCATAGCAAACCCTAACCACAGTTTGTCAGGGATTGCATATAATGACAATCAGCAGTTGACTGAAAATGAAAGCACATGCTTATGATCTCCTTGCAGAGATCATGATCTCTGGTGGAGAGGGAAGACTCCATGAGCTGATGTTGCTATGTGCAAACATATTTAATTTTGTAATAATGACATCCCATTTCAAATGGGAAATATTATTACTTTGGCCTTTCACTAAGATAAATGTCTTTTTGATTTGTTGCCCTGTTAATTGAATGCAAAAGTTTTACTGTTTGAGGCTGATGTTAATTTTGAAGCTGTTCAGTGAAATAAAGGAATTGTGAATATTGACGTTATCTTCATGATTAGGAGGACAGTGAGACGGTTAGCTCTTATGAATCATTTTAAAGGGGTCAGAGTTCTTTTAAAGAGCATCATAAGCAGAGTCATATAAGGTTGCCTAGAGTAAACCAAAGTTGTCCACTGATCAGTTCCTTTGTACCAAAACCAACCAAGCTACTGAAAAAGCCCCACACTCGTTGAAGCCTTCTTTCTTCTTCTTCACAGATGTTCACAGCTGGCCTCACAGCCGCAGTTCGCACATGGCAGTCATTCCATGTTTTCCCATTCAAGGCAAAAGGCTGTCTCCCAATTCCAGCTGCGAGGTAGTCATTAGGTTTCAAATACCTCCAGATTAACAGTTACACATTTGTCTCCAGTTCATTGATTTCAATAGTGCAGTGGTCCTTACTGCTAGATTTCTCTGTATGAGTTTCTGTCGGGTTTTCTTCTTGCTCCACTTGAACAGGTATTTGATGCTGGAATGTCTTTGATGGTTCAGGTCCATGAGGCTCATTCATGTTCTTCACACAGCCATTTCTCTGGTAAGCCATGATCTGGTGGATACTGATGGGTTTTGTTTCACAGATCAAAGGCACCTATGAATGGAACAGGGAGATTCCCATTACTATTTTAGAGATGGTAAACTATTGCATGTGGTATCATTAAAGTGTATGGAAACTTGGGGCCTTCAAAAGCTGGAGAGGAATTAAACCACACTCACTTTTGTGTGTTGTGAATTATATATTTATGGTCACAAGGGACACAGCTGTCAAAAGCCAATAGGGCATTGCCATGTTTCAAAATGGCAGGACTCACAATCCCTACAATCCAGATTGGAGCTACAAATTCAGAAATCTATGACCCTTCTGGAATTGTACCAGTTCAGATTAGGGGTGGTGGTGCATGTGCGGGTGTTCCTACACTAAAACAACAATAACTTTCTGCACATTAAAAGGCACACTATAAAGCAGGCTAGTCTAGAACTCTTCTTCCTGACATATAGTTATCCAAAAGCATAGAGTTTTGAAGTAAGGGGAATCATTTAAACACATGGGGGAGGTTCATATTTCAGTGGTTAAGCATCTGCTTTGCATGCAGAATATCCCAGGTTCAATTCCAAGTTGATTGAGTCCCATCTGAAACCCTGGAGAGCCACGGCTAGTCATTGTAGACAGTGCTAAGGTAGATGCAGCAAATGTCTGACTCAAGACAGTAAACCTGCAGCTTACGGGGGGTTATGTTCCAGGGATTGCGCCTAAAGCCAAAATCACATATGGTCAAAGCACTTTGGGGTCAATGGCAGGTGGGACTGCCAAAGCCTTTACCCCTGGAACCATGCCCCCTTTTATTTATGTTTTGCCATGTGTGTAAAGCTGAATGCACACAAGTTAAATGCCGGCTTAAGTTGCCGGCTTACGGTGTAACACAGCTTCCTGTATTTGCGCCATCCTCATCTGCAGTCTGAAGTGATATAGTGCAAGAAAGGCTGTTAACACGGGATGAATATAATTTAAAACACACAGTTTAGCCCTCATACATTGATAATCCACCACACAATGTGCCTACCACTACATTCCATTTTTATTATTGTTTTGGTTGGAAGTGCAACACTATAACTCCATGGTTAAATTTTCTCCCACCTCAGACCCATCCTTGGTGAATTCTTTTCTGCAGATGTGAGCCATGATTCCAGCAGCCAGAGCATCCCCCAGCACGTTGATCATTGTTCGGAATCTGTCTCTGTCAAAACACAGTGGGGGCATTAAGGACGCCATTTCCTTTTGTTATGCAAATGCTCACAGATTTAGACTTTTCTCTGTTATACTCCCATGCAAAATAAAAGTCCATGAATATAATCTGATATCATGCTAAAACAACCAGTTATGAAGAATAGGAAATAAAGGTACCTACTGAGTGTAAATTCATATATCACCATATTTGACCAAATAGGGAAGCACCTTGAACTGATCTTATGATAGATTCATCCCAATTTGCTTGCAGGGAGGTGAGACAACAGTGAGTCAAAGCAAGTGTTATCCCACACATTCCAGTACATACCCTCATCACTTTCCTTACTGCAAAAAGCCTAATCTTTGGGGGATGTGGGTTTCTTCCACAAGACCTTCCAATCAACCAGAATTTTCTGGTATGTTTGTTAAAACCATTCAAAAATAGGAGCAGTCTGGAAGCATCCCATGAATGCCAAAAAAAGTAAAAGGATATCACCCCAAAAAACATTTTGTGCCTTCCAAACCTGTGATTCTATGCCATGACTGTCTGTTCTTCTGCACCTGCACTTTGTATTTAATTCCCCCATGTACTTTTTTTTCAAGGATCAAAAAAGTCATTTCAGTGTGGCAAAAACTCTTATATATTTTGTTTGCTCTCCTCTTTGTCATTCTAAATATTGGCATGCATGGTGGAATGCTAAAGCAAGAAACATGGAGCAAAATAGCATTTGGGTGGTAGATGAGTGGCTAAATTCACTCCGGATTTCCCTAAATCAACCTCCTTCCCCCAACTGACATTGCACTTCTGGTCTCTGGATTCTATTTAAATGGCACCAGAAATCTCTTGAGTGGGTTGATCTGGAATTAATTCTGTAAAGTGTGGAATCCCGTGCAGCAGCTTTAAAGAGTTTGCAAAGAAACTTCTATCAGTCCTGAAATATTAAGGACCTTTTGTGAATAATGAAGGAAGCAATCTTGAGCCAAGGATATAAAAATAAAACTGGAATGTGTTTTAAAGACAAAAACAGGAGAACAAGGAAGGAAAGTGTACTTTGTATGGTGTGTTTGTGTATGTGTGTGTGTGTGTGTTTTTTTAGAAGACATAAGCAGGAGGAGCCATTAAGCATGTCCAGATGGAGAGTAGAACACATTCTGATTCCACTTGGAAAAGAGAAGACACTCGGACATTTTCAGGGGCCAGGAGTGTGTTGGTTGAGCTAAAACAGGGATGAGGAAATGTGGCCCCTAATTTAATGTCTGTGGTGGTGGGGAGAGCTCAGGGAGGAGAAGGAAGGTGGGAGACAGTGGTGGCTAGTGGCCTTTAGGACCGGTGGGGCAAAAAGCAAGGATGCCAACTGTATCAGTTATAACCAATGACGGGCAGAGACTACTAGTCCTCAGTTTGTCTCCTTGCTGAGTCCTACACAAGCAAAGCTGAGACTAAGGAGGAGGAAGTTGGCAGCCAGAGCCACCTGTTGGATTGATGGTGAGAGCCAGTGTGGTGTAGTGGTTAAGAGCGGTGGACTCGTAATCTGGGGAACCGGGTTTGCGTCTCCGCTCCTCCACATGCAGCTGCTGGGTGACCTTGGGCCAGTCACACTTCTTTGAAGTCTCTCAGCCCCACTCACCTCACAGAGTGTTTGTTGTGGGGGAGGAAGGGAAAGGAGAATGTTAGCTGCTTTGAGACTCCTTAAAGGGAGTGAAAGGCAGGATATCAAATCCAAGCTCTTCTTAAGAAGGAAGCAGCTGTTGGGGAGCTGGCTGATGGCAAACCGAGGTTGGCAGAGCAGTGCTCCATTTGCCCTAAAGGACTAGCTGGTGAGAAGGGGAAAGTAGAAGGGCATCTGATGTAGACTGAGCAATGGAAGAAAGCTCTTTGCAAGTGATCAGTTCAGTTCCTCGAGTTGCTAAAGGAATAAAGTGGGAGAAGATATAGTATGTTTGGCACTGCAGTTTACATGACTCTCCATTACTAGCATTTACTATTACTGTGTGTATTAGCTCTTGGTAACATTTTTGTTTTAAAATGATATATTTCCCACTTTATTTTCTTTGCACGTAGGTTGTTTTGTAGTCATAAGATAAAACCCATTTCATTTTCACAGAGCAAAAACTGAAAGGGAAACATTTGTAAAATGCAGCTTTTAAGCTGCTTTGAACATACAAAATTGAGGTGAAAGGGCAGGTGTATTAGCTGGAACTACTCTTAGTATATTATTTGAAGCCGAGTCAAATTCATCTTGGCAGAGCTGCATTCAATCTGAAACACATCATGTGATTTCCTTATTTTTCCAATGCAAACAAGCACATCTGAAAACTCAATCACATTGGTTAATATATTGATGTGGGTCATAAAGCTGAAATCCAGGAACATCCAGATGTTTGGCTTAAAAAAGCAAAGGGTGGTCCAAGATCAGCATTGTCCAGGTTTTGATTTCTTTCTTTCTTTCTTTCTTTCTTTCTTTCTTTCTTTCTTTCTTTCTTTCTTTCTTTCTTTCATCTTAATGGAGGTTAGGTTGAACCAGAATGGTTTTCATATGTTTTTAAGTAGATATGTGTATGTGGGTGAAAACACGGATCTGCCACTGCAATGTTTAGATCTGCCCACAGTCACAGCCTGTCCCACTGTCAAAGCTGTAAGCCAAAAAAGATGTAAAGGCAGCCCTCAGCAAAGTGCTCCCAGGGAATCCCCTCCCACGTCCATGAGCCCTAGTGGCAGTGAACAGCAGCATTGCTAACTGCCATTTTAGTTTCCCATAATGCCACGGTTCTATGCCAGAGGCATTTCACTTTTTGAATTTGGCTCTTTTTCCTGTCACCGTGAGGCAACAGAAAAAGAAAGCAAATTCAACAATTGCATAATTACAGCTGAAAATGAAGAACGGCTTTATGTTGTAAAGTGCCCTGTGATCTTTGGATGAAGGGTGTTATAGAAATTTATTATTATTATTATTATTAACAACAACAGCAACAACAGGGGACATACTCAGAGTCCATTCCCATGTTTCCCTTTGCAGCTGTAGCTTGAATTCAAGCCGACGCTGCAAGTAAGAATAGCTGCGATATGAATTCTTCTTTTAATTCAAGCCAGGGTTACAAACAAAGAAATGAAGAATGAAGAGTGTACTATTCTTCCTTTGCAGGCCACAGGTTCAGTTTAATCATCTGATGTCATGTGATTGACAGGTAAGCAGCCCCACCCACCCGTCAAAGTGACCTACAGAAGGTGGCAGAGTTTTGGATCAGCCCACCATCCAGATTCAACTCCTTCCCTCTCCCCATCATAAAATCTATGATCTATTAGACCTAATTTTCAAATTCACAATCAGTATGTCTCATCAAAGGATGATTGCCATGTCTTGCTTATGGGCATCCTATGGGCATCTAGTTGGCCACTGTTAGCAATAGTGTCCTGTACTTACTACAGATCTTTGGTTTGATTCAGTCAAGCAATTCTGTGACTTTCATGACATGACCACCCTCTATTGCACCTTTCAGCACACAGTGTGTTGTATGTTGCTATGAATGCAGCTGTTCAATAGTCACACATTCAGTTTGGTTTGAAGATGAGAGAAAAGTCTAAAAAAACCACACCATCCAGTTACTTACAAGGCCCAGTCGACTGCAATGATTAGAGTGATATCATCTGTAGGAAGCCCCACTGATGTAAGAACGATAACCATAGTAACAAGCCCAGCTTGCGGGATTCCAGCTGCACCAATGCTGGCAGCAGTTGCTGTGATACTTTTATCAAAGAGAGAGAGAGAAGGATATTAATTATCTAACATGGAAGGACACATATTTGGAACCAACAGAGAGTTTTCCTCCATGCTTATATTTGATCCACACCTATAAGTGACTCTCATATGCTTCAATCTGAACTGAGCTGGAACAGAAGTCCATTGAATAGGCTGGATGGGGTTTTTTTTTATGTGAATGGTGATGCACATCCCTATCTGGGGCCCACCAGAGCCATTTCATGCAACAGGCTTCACACTACTAGAGCTGGATTGGGGCCCTCCTTCACAAGAAATAATTGATGGGGAAATTTTGTGCCGCTGTCCCGCCACACGAAGCTGCCAAACTCGACTTGATATTGTGTGAATACAATTAACGTGCCAGCCATGTCGCTGCCAGTTCATTTCCAGGCCTAATTCAAGGTGCTCACATTAGTGTTTAAAACTCAAAATTACTTAGGCCTCAAATATTTGAAAGACTGCCTCCTTCTGTACAGCTCCCAATAATTCTCTCAAGTGACACTGTTAAAGTCAGTGGGATAGCATCAGCAGAAGGTTTCTGCAGAGTTGGAATCCAGTTCCTTGTTTTCAAAACACCTTGCACACCTTATTACACCTTAGTGCAACTTGTGACCCACCAAGCTCGAATGCAACCAACCAACTAACCAACAAACCAACCAACCATGTATTGTGCCATACTAATACTTGGCTGCTGCCAGACATTTGTCTGGCTGGGTTGCACACTGGGCAGTATGACATTTAGCATAGAACAAAGCAATTAATTTCAATAAAATTAATGGCAGGAATCCCCCTGCTCTTAACAATAATCCCAGTGAGCACAAGAACCGAAATGGCAAATCACAGCTACATAAAAACACAGTCTAATATAAAGCTGATTGCTTTGGTTCAGTCTGAACAAAATTATGAAGGATCCAGAAATGACACAGTCATGGATTTAAATATTCAGTAGTGAGTTGTTTTGCTTTTGGTCTGATAATTCATTTACCACTACTTTACTGGAAACCTGTCTATTTTATCCCCATCCCAAACACCAGACATCCTGTGTTTAAATTACCCACTCCACAGTTTGGACTCTTAGCCATTAAAAGCTTGTGAAATTTACAGCGCTTAACTATGAAGCTAGGCTTCACCAGGTCCGCCCTTTAGCATCCCAGGATTCAGCCCTGGCACATGCACAGTACGTCTTGGAGCATGAAGAGTGTCTTTCTCTAACCACTGTGTGACCACAAGCAGCCACACACTTCTGGAATTATGAGAAAGAGCTTCCAGATCAGATGTTTTAGCTCACAGGCTCATTTGATCCCTGAGCTTTTTTTCATTTTAGAAATTCACAACTAGCACTTTGACTTGCTTTTGAACTGCTAGGTTGGCAGGAGCAGGGACCGAGCAACAGGAGCTCACCCTTTTGCGGGGATTCGAACCGCCAACCTTCTGATCGGCAAGTCCTAGGCTCTGTGGTTTAACCCACAGCGCCACCTGCGTCCCCCTCCCTGAGGATTACTCCCAGGTAAATGTGCAGCTCTAGAATTTGATCCCATAAAACATCACAATGCTAACAGAGAGGCTTACCACGGGGCATCCAATCCAAACTTTCATTTCCCATAAAGCACTGTGCATTCCTAACCAATTCACAGAAATATACTCTACGCTTTCCCATATGCAATTATGAATGAGGATGCTTGGATCATGTATCAGCAGTGTGCACAGCATGCAGATTTGCAGGAAATATCTGCAAGTCAAGCTTCCTAAATATGGGACCCCCTTTGTAAACTGGTTTTTTTACCTTATGGTGATGATCTGCCCGAAGTCCAGCTCATAATTGTTTACTTGAGCAATAAAAATAGCTGCTACTGCTTCATAAAGGGCGGTCCCATCCATATTGATTGTTGCCCCCACTGGGAGCACAAATCGGGCAATCCTCCTGTCCACATGGTTATTCTCTAACAAGCACTTGAAGGTTATAGGCAGAGTGGCTGAGCTGTGGAGAAAAAGAGAGTGAAGTCAGCAAAACTATAAGGTCTGAAGTAGGGGGGCTATCTCAAACCTGCAGGTGGCACTGCCAAGATGCATCCGTAAAAAACTATAGTCCTACTGGCAGGGTCAGGACTGACTGTAGCTGTACCCAGGAGGATGAACTGGCCAACAACAGATGGCAATAAAAGTTGGTGTTCTTTCTCCCCATTCCCAAACTTCAGCTGCGCTTCCTATCTACTGTCATTACCTCTCATTGCCTTTCATTCCATTCATTTTGCATTTTTTGTGCAGTTCAAATAACTAGCTGAAGAAGCCTTGCTGCAGGGAGTCACTCTCTGGAATGCACCAGGGAGAACAAGTCTTTCAGGATTTCTTTTGCCATCATATGAGCTGTGATGACCTAATGCCAAATGAGAAGCCAGACTGAAATGGATATAGATAATCAGCTTCTGTGAGGTGCTTAAACCTGAGCCTTAGTTCTTCTCTAATGTTACCTAAAAACACGGAGACGGAATTGAGTAGCAGCTTGTTGTCACACTTGCAGAAATAGGGGATCAGCCATTATGTGCTTTCTCTTTTCCAGGAGGCCTGGGTGCAACCCCAAACCTGCAAAGCGCCGGATATGACCTAACTCAAATGCCTCCCACACTCCATCTTAAGTCTTAGCAGCTGCAGGCACAGATGGAATGATCAGCCATTACTGGTCTTTCCGCACCCCTTTTGTAGTCTTTTTATCTTCAAGCTGACAAAGAATTCCGAGGAACTCAAAATCTTGAGCACTATTTTTTGATGTTTTGGTTGCCCTAATAAAGATATTGCTCTAATAAACAAAAAACATAGCTCTGATTTTAAAAAAATAAGACGAATGAGTGCATTTTCTTTTGCCCACAATCTACTCACGTCCAGCAGTCATCCATCTCAATATAATCAAAGCAAATGCTTTCATTATCACAACTACCTCTGCCCTTCTCATGGCTGTCTTTGGAACTCTACCGGGCATCATCAGCACCACATAACAACCTCCCCCCCCCATGCAAATAGGACTTTTATCTCCAACTGGGTATTGGGATGTTCTTATAAGAAGACTACATACGCTGGCCATTTGCATTGCTGCACTATTTCTCAAACTGCAGAAGACTGCTGGTATGAGACACCTGGTTTGACCCTGATCTCTCTATTTATAGTTTGGATTATGAAGTTAATCTGTAGAGCAGCTCTTGTGTTATGGGAATGTGGGGAAGTATTGCAGGGACCGGCCACAAAGTACAACATTGGGCTTCTTGCCAGGACCCTTCTTGAGCTTCTGTTTGTCTAGTGACACCACAAAGGATGATTTCTATGGGATGGGCAGAAGATTTCCAGATCAAACCTGGCTACATACCAAAGTGGCAAGAGGAAGCCCACTGCAGATTAGTGTCCCCTATCCAAGTAATCCAGAAGGATTGCTATGGGTATTGAAGCCGCTGTCAGATCCAGGAAAATTCTCTGAGCAAGGCAGGGAGGAGATGGTGGGGCCAGTGGAGAAAATGCCAGTGCTGTAGTCAGATGGATTGTATATGTCACGGTCTCACAGTTTAGAATCCAGGGATTCGGAGACTTGGATTTGGGGACCCTGCAGCATGAGTGCCTTAGCGAACTGGGAGTAAGGGAGCTAGACAAAAATAAGGAGTGCAAGGTAGAATTGCGCCAGTGTTTCATTCATCATATGGTACCTGGATGATGTGGCCAGAGCAATAAGCAAGGCTTGAAGAATCCCTCTGATGAAAACAATGGGGTTCTTCTTGGTGATGAAGAAGTATGTCATTGGCAGAATAAAAAGTCCATGTACCACTAGGCCACAAACCACAGTAATAGCGTAAAAGCCTAGCTTCTTCCCGATGGCTGATGGATCATCCATTTCCAAGATCTTACCAGCAATAAGGAACACTATTCCAAATGGAAAATACCTGGGGAAGGAGACAGTGATATTCAATGTGAAAGAACACTTCCACCCAAAAACTGAAGGAACTTCACTTATGCATATGTATACAGAACTAGTTGTGTGACACAGGCCATCTATAACTACATCCCCTCTGGCCAGTTCCAGAAGTTTTTAGAGCCAAACTGCATGCGAAAAAGGAGAGTTGTGATTCGTTAGTCTCCTGATTAGTTTTTTTAACCTGAAGTGCACCCTTGGAGCATTGCAAATTTTATTTTGCATCATCATGTGGTGTATATGCTGAACCCTTCTTCCACTACAGGCCATTTTTGCAGTCCAAGTTGAGTCCCTAAGCCACTAATTTTCCTCCAGTGATGCTAGTGTGTGTGTGTGTGTGTGTGTGTGTGTGTGTGTGTGAATAGTCTCTGTGGGTGATTTTCCCTGTGGGTGAGAAAGCAATGTAATGGTGAGCTTTGCTACAAAAACTGCCCCCAGTTAAAAGGTTAAGCATGCAGCAGAACTGGCTTACCACATTTTGAGGTAAATGAAGTAAGACACAGTATCATCTAAAAAGCCACTTGCCCCACCCACTGCAGTAGATTGTTACACCCAAAGTCTAAAATTACCTAATTAATAGCACCATTGATGCATGCCCAACAGCTGCTGCTATAATTGAATTTGTGGTTCCCAAATAACACACTGCGGTTAAAAAAAATAAAATCAGAACCATGAGTCTCCCATATCACATGTAGTTTGGCCCATAGAGCAGTGGTTGTGGCACACGATACTAACATAGCGCTTGAGTTCCTGTTAATAGGTGCTCTCTTAACAATTCTCAACACCATTAACAAACCACCGTTCCCAAGATTCTTTGAGGGAAGTCATGGCTGTTTAAAGTGGTATGATACTGCTTTAGCTATTGTCATGGACTGGCTGGATGCAGAGGAATGGTGGGAGGAATCAGGTGGGGAACCCCAAGGGAACTCCAACAGAAGAAGGCTCAGAGCTAAGGGATTGGTGGTGGGAAGACAATGAGTAGTCAGAGGGAGAAGAGGGAGGAGGAGGTGTTGCAATCTGAAGAGGCAACAGGGTTTAGTGCACAGGAAGAGGCCGTGGCAGACAGCAGTGCAGAGTGGAGACAGGCTGCTGAAGAGGCCAGGGAGTTTCTCCATCCTGTTGTGACCAGCTCTCCTCCCCCCTGGTCTCCCAGAACCAGCAGAGGAATGAAGAGGGAATGAAGAAAGGAGCCTTAGGTTGCTGGGCAAGAACCCTGGAGGAGCCTTAGGGAGCAGCAGGAAGGCGAGGACCTTCAGTCCTTGCAACTGCCTCACTGGGGCAATACCTACTGAGAAGAGTTGCTGTGATCACTAGGCCTGAGCTGTTTTCGTTTCCTTGAATAAAGAGTTAACTTCACTGACAGCGGGTGTTTTATTGCTGACCTGTGCCTGACTCCAACCACTGAAAGTTATATATTGCAGATGGGGGGCCAAACTTTGACTTGCAAGTTTTATTTTTTCCTAACACTGCATTTACTTACCATACGGAAACAGCCACTATCTTCATGACAGATTCATTTAAGCACTGGCAAAAGCTAACCAAGGGAACGCCACTGTTGCCCATCCTCCCCAACATTATTCCTGCAAATAGATAAATATTGTTTCATTTTATTCACCATCATATGGATTTACATCACAGGCCACATTAGCATATAAAACTTAAGTGTGTATATCTATATCTCTCTATCATCTCTCTATCATCTCTCTATCTATCGTGAATTGCTGGACTCAAATTTGGGACCTAAATTTGTGGGCAGGAACTGCTTCACTCTGTTTGACAACTGTAGACTCTAACCCCCCCCCCCAATGCCCCATGAGTCTAATTTTCACTTCCATTCATACTATGCTAGTACATTTATTATATAACTATATTAATACCAACATAAAATTCTGTATTTAAGTAATGGATGCTACTGTTCCAGATTTGAATTATTTAAGCTACTACAGTGGTACCTCGGGTTACATACACTTTCAGGTTATATATGCTTCAGGTTACAGACTCCGCTAACCCAGAAATAGTACCTCGGGTTAAGAACTTTGCTTCAGGATGAGAACAGAAATCGTGCTCCGGTGGCGCGGCAGACCCCATTAGCTAAAATAGTGCTTCACGTTAAGAACAGTTTCAGGTTAAGAATGAACCTCCGGAACAAATTAAATACTTAACCCGAGGTACCACTGTACATTTTTAAAATTAGCATTTATTTGGATTTTCAGTTCACAGAATTAGAAATGTTACATATGAGCAGTGATGTCTAACTTATGGGGGGCTGCAAACCACATATGGTACCACAATAAGTTTTTCGTGCCCTCCCAAGACCCCCGAAAATTTGCCATATGTGTGTGTGTGTGTGTTTGACTGCTGTTATAAGTTTCCCACTGCAATGCCACAATACCAAAATATGCTGTGTCCCCCAACATTTTTAAAATGTTTTTAAAATTTCTAACCTTTTTTTAACCAGTAGAAAAGAAATAATCTTAAAAAACTACTAACTCCTCCATAGGTACCCTGACATTGTGATGCCAAAAGTTGTTTTTTTTACCATGCCTACTTTGATATGTAGCACCCAAAGGATTGACCATGAATCTGTGCACCTCAACCTGAAAAACGGCAGAGGTTTCTGCAGTAATATAAGCCAGACTCTATTATTCTGAATGGAATGTAGGCTTTTCTTCATTGTACTGCCCAAAGGAAAAATACTGCTGAATCTCATCCAGAGGTAAGTTATGCTGAGTTCAATGAGATTTACTCCCAGGTAAATATGTACACAATTGCAGTGGGACTTATTTTTGCATAGGAGTAAACCTACATTGGACTTAACAGTAAACCTAATGTGGGCATAACACTGACCCATAATACCCATTAGACACAAAATTATAACTTTGTGATGGCTGTAAAGTGAATTTGGAAGTTTCAGTCCAGATTCTAGGTGAAAACTAGGTGGAAAAAAGCCAGCATCCTATTCCTAAACTGCACTTGCCTTTTTTGCTTGGCAACCTTAGCAGACATAAAGGAACTATGTATGAAATCCCAGATGTCTAATTTCTACACAGGAGAACAGACAAACAAGAACTTGACAAAGGCCAGGAACTGCTACAGGTAAAATAATTATGACTATGTACTGCTGGGTTTCCATGTAGTAGGATTTAAATTTGAGGGATTTGACACTCCTGTTTATTCATTTCAATAAGCAGTCCATCTGCTACAAAGGGTTGTGGCTGGTAGCAATATGTTTTAAAAAGGCATCACAAACTATAAAAACAATAATGTGTCTGCTTTAACTATCCAAAGCACTTAATTCATTGCCCATGTTGCACCAGTGCTAGGGTTTCCATTTGTGCAACAGACCTTTCTCCTCTCTCCACGCACAACCCATACCCTCCCCAAATCTGTTCCAGGGGGTTGGGGTAACCCCTAGAACAAATTTAGGGGGTTCACGGGGAAGGAGATGCGGAGAACATCCCGTTGCGCAAGCAGAAATCTTTGTGGGGATGGAATGAGAGGTTTAGTGCTAGGTTGGATTCCACCCGAAGTGTCTACATTACTTCTACAGGGTGAGTCCTTTAAAAGAGTATAAGATGCCCAGGTTCAAGCTGAAGTGACTTTCTGACAGAAGGCAAATATCATGACTAAACACCTGAAGGAGCCAAGACTGAACATGTAGCACTCCAAAGGGCATTATGACGTTGTGTACTTGGCTAACTGCCCATGCCATTCAGCATGGTACACAGGAGGTGCTATCATAAAGAGAATAGCTCTCTTGTGGCGTAATGTCGCTGCAATCCTGAGAGGAAATGATCATTGTCTGAGGGTGGCATCTAATGCTAAGCATACTCAGAGCAGACCCACTGAAATCAATACACTTCAGTAATTTATGTTCCTTGATTTCAGTAGGTCTACTCTGTGCGGGTGGCGCTGTGGGTTAAACCACAGAGCCTAGGACTTGCCAATCAGAAGGTCGGCAGTTCGAATCCCCATGACGGGGTGAGCTCCAGTTGCTCGGTCCCTGCTCCTGCCAACCTAGCAGTTCGAAAGCAAGTCAAAGTGCAAGTAGATAAATAGGTATCGCTCCGGCAGGAAGGTAAAAGGCGTTTCCGTGCGCTGCTCTGGTTCGCCACATGACCCAGAAGCTGTACACCGGCTCCCTCGGCCAATAAAGCGAGATGAGCGCCACAACTCCAGAGTTGGTCACGACCGGACCTAATGGTCAGGGGTCCCTTTACTTTTACCTTACTCTGAGCAAGACTTAGTTGGATATTACCCTGAATGCTTTGTACATCCCCATCAAACAGAACGTGGCCTACCAGCTTGGTACTGTCACCTGCCTGTTGCTTAACCCACCACACCCCCTTTCTCCCCAATCTTTGGTTGAAGTCAACAGAAACTGGAGGTTTAGAACAAGAGCTCAATGGACGCCAGGCAACACAAACCTGTTCAGCAATTCATGCAACCACACCTGTGGATTTGACTACTTAAGAGTGGGAGGAACAGAGTCACACTCATGGGCCACACTTCCAACCTCCACACATTCATCGGTAGGTCAGAGCAGAGCATATCAGGGTACAAATACATATTTGTATGTGCAGGCTGCGTCCATGCAATCACAGATAACCACTGGAGAAAATGCAGGATCCCTATGTTTATGGTGAAATCCTACAGGCACACATTAGTATGTGTGTAGGCTCTGAGTCTAAGGGACGCGGGTGGCGCTGTGGGTAAAAGCCTCAGTGCCTAGGGCTTGCCGATCGAAAGGTCGGCGGTTCGAATCCCCGCGGCGGGGTGCGCTCCTTTTGTTTGGTCCCAGCGCCTGCCAACCTAGCAGTTCGAAAGCACTCCCAGGTGCAAGTAGATAAATAGGGACCGCTTACTAGCGGGAAGGTAAACAGCGTTTCCGTGTGCGGCTCTGGCTCGCCAGAGCAGCGATGTCACGCTGGCCATGTGACCCGGAAGTGTCTCCGGACAGCGCTGGCCCCCGGCCTGTTGAGTGAGATGGGCGCACAACCCTAGAGTCTGTCAAGACTGGCCCGTACGGGCAGGGGTACCTTAGGCTCTGAGTCTATCCTGATAAACATGTGGCAGTAGAGAGGAAAATAAAGAGATAATAGATCCATGATCCAGCAGCAGGAATCGAAGTTAGGTCCCTTGCCAAGAACCAAGTGGGGACAGTCTGAGAGGAGAAGTCCATAGATCAGTCACTGAAAAAAATGCAGGCTCCACATTCAGGGAACCATTTCAACAACAACAAAAATACTCTTGAAAATGATTTAGTGAGAGTGATTTTGGTTTTTTCTAAGTCTCAGTGAACTCTCATATCTGTCTGTACAGCAAATATATCCCAGCCAAGAACTGAGTGTCAGAGCTCACGTCTGTGCTTGTACAGCAGGTTCCAGGTCTCAGCACTAGTCCTGATTTAATGGCAAACAAGCTGATCTGCTGTCAAGATGCAGCCATTTCACAACAACACTTGCTAATCTTTGGCTCGCCATAAATTTCAAATCTGCAATATGTTTTTTGAATTATGTTGCTCCTTCCTCTTAACATAAATTTGAAGGGCACTTCAGCATTTTAATCCAGTCTGGGCTTATTATGAAATGGCAGCTTCAGGAGAACATGGATATTCCATGTTGAAAAGTGGAAATGGTCCCTGTCCATAATCTAAAGGTGGAGGGAGAAGACAGAGAAGGCAAGGCTATAGGCCACATGAAAATGAATAGCAGGCCTGGGCATATTTCTCCATGTGACTGACAGAAATGTCCATGTCTGTAGTTCAGGTTCATATCACTTCCATTCAGTTTGGCCAGTGGAGATTGGTCCCTCCTCAACATCTACGTTTCATATCTCCTTTTCTTCCACCCAAGACATAAAGTGATGAATGAAAGGTTTGGGTGGATGTGATGGGATGGGATTGCAGCCTAAATCCACTCTACCCTTTTTCACAGCTGCACTTGTTGCAATACTCTTTGCATGTTATAGTTCCCTGTCATTCACTTTTCTGAAAGAATCAGTAAGCAGGGAACAGGTGTGCACAGCCAAACTAAGCAGGGTTCATTCCTGCCCCGCAATCAGCCGTGAGGCTGGCTTGGGATCCAGTGGGTTGTGGGCTAGCTTAGCCCCACCCCCTCCCTGCGAATGTCCTGTTTGGGGGCTTTCCACTTAACTCATCTGGTGGGGATATTGGCAGAGGGCCTCTTGCCCACCCATTCAGTGAGCAGAAGAGGGTGGTTGAACAGGAGCCAGCTGGGCTGGCAGAACTGAGTGGAGGGAGGCCTCTGCTCAGTCCAGCAGCCCCACAAAGGCCAATGTAATGTAGGGGATGGGGGTGGACTGCAGCCTTACTCACCATTTTTCTAACCAAAAAAGGATGAAACGTTGCAACCTTTCCTCACAGCAGAGTATTCTCCACCCCCTTGATCATTCTGATTTCCCCTTTCTGAACCTTTTCCAACTTCACAATATCATCTTTGGAAAGGGCTAAACAGCTTTTCATTTTAGATTAATCTGCTAGCATGCTTGCTCCAGAAACTGAATTTTACTTTAGGATGCTACAAACTTTTCCTCTTTGTGAAGTTGCAGTCCAGCACATGAATCAGCCTTCAGCGTGACAATCATGTGATAATTCATGCCAGCAAGATTTATGCTTAAAATAAAATTGACATCATTTTATTGGAGCCAATGCGCTGGGGGTAAATCAAGGAGAAGAGAGTGCTCAGCTACTGAAATATTCCACTGCTCCCTGCAGGGCATTCTGTGAACTATTACACCAAAGCTCCTAATATAGGAGTGCAGTGAAAATTCACCAACAGGAAAACGTGAAGGACATTTCAAAATCTTTAGGCGCCAGGCAAAAACATTCCTCTTAAACCAGGCCTTTGGCTGATTGACATCCAATGCCCTTTTAAAATGTGTGTGGGGGTGGTGGTGGTGGTTATTGGGTTGTTTCTGTTTTTATTTTGATTATATATTTTGTGATTTTATGTTGTGACTTTATGTTGTAACCACCCTGAGACCTGAGGGTATAGGGTGGTATACAAATGTAATAAATAATAATAATAATAACAACAACCTCACACCAACAGTCTACCATTTGATCACGATCTCTCAGCCAAACCTACCTCACAGAGATGTTGTGAGGGAGGGGAGGACAATGTATGCTGTCTTTAGCTCTTTGGAGGAAATGTGGAATATAAATGCAGTTATTAACTAATAGTAGCAAATAGTAAATCTTATTGAAAACTGGGCTTGAATTGGGTAGGGGCAGGTTGGGGGGGGGGGGAGTTTAATACAATCCACAAGCCATTCCTCCCACTTTTAGCCAAATCATGCCCCCCTGTAGCATTTAAAATCAGTAAGTATGTAGGCAATCTCACAATGTACGGGAGACTGGTCTTCACTGTAATATGTGTTCCAAAATTTGAAATCCATAGAGTAGAACTTAGTGATGACTAACAAATCCATTTCACTTTAATGAGAATAAGTCATGACTTGGTCTGCTAAATTTTTCAGTGCAGTCCCCTAGCAAACATGAGACATCCTCCTTCAGGGGTTCCATGAAGAGATGTGGCCCTCAGGCCCCTACCCTGTCACACAAGCTCACTGGAAAAGCTCTATGAATTACAGAGGGAAGTAAAAATACCAGATGAGGAAACTACAGAGCAATGTAGGACAGGTGAAAACTGCAGCAGGCTCTTTCACAGGTGACTGGAAGTTTGACTCCAATGCTCAACTGATCAAAGCTATTTCAAGTGGGTGCTATTGAGATGGGGAAAGAACAGAAACGGCACCAGGGGTTCCAAACAGAAAGGCTAATTCTCCTACATCAAAGGACAAGTTCACAGATTACAACCACATACCCATGGTAGCAGAGAATATTACAATCCCCAACACATTCATGCCTTCGCTGGTGCCTGGTTCTGACTTGTAGATAACTTCGGGTGGTGGTGTGATGTCCAAGGCAAAATTCTGGATGTTGGATCCATTTTCATCCTGAACCCCATAGATAATGATTCGGCGTGTGGTGCTTTCAGACGCAGCTTTGTTGGCTTTCACAATCGGGGTGCTTTTGGTTCGGTACTGAAAGAGCGGAAGCGCATCTCCATTACATGTAGAAGGATATTTTCTTGCTTTGAAGTTCCCTTCATGAACGGAACTTTATCAACAGATAACGGGATACCTCTAAAGATTCATTAACTCCTTGCTTATTTGAAGGGGAAATTTCCCTAGTTTTCAAACTAATAGTGGTCCAGACACTCACCTGTTTAAAAGTGGCCTCAACAAGGTTGGCAGGGAACATGTTCCTGAAAAGAGATAAGAAAGATGTTTGCCAAGGTATTAGATAAAAATTGAACTCACTGGGCCACTAATCTTTGTAAGTTACTTTCTCTTTTAGGTGGCCACTTCTATCTGTGTGGCATTTTATTTGGGAATCAATCACATTCCAGTATTTCCCACTGTAATATCTGCAACCTGCAATATGTGGCCAAACAGGAGCTAAACGACATTCTGTTAATTGAAGCCTTACTACAGCTTCTTCAAAAGCTTTATTCCTCTGCTGTAGACACACAGAAGCATTAGAATCAAAGTGCTGGGAAAAGTCTGAAAATCATCTAGTCCTATTTCAGTAGAATCCTGCATGCCCAAACTTAGCGAGATACTACTGTCTGTCCATCTCTATTTGTTAAAATACTTATATATCACCCTTCTGGTGCAAAACTATCACTAAGAGCAGCATTCATCATTTAGACATCCCTATTTTATTAAACAACAATCAACCAAAGAGTAAGATCAGCTGTTAAAACCATTGAAACATCACCTTTCACATACAGCAAAAACCTGCTGGAATAAAATGGTTTTCAACAACTGTTGCAAAAAAATCAAAGGAAGGAGCCAGCCACATTTCACAGGGCAAAGTCTCCACAATCAGGGAGCAGACACTGAGAAGTTCCTCTCTCTTATCGCAGTCAAACATGCTTCCACCCTAGAAGGTACACAGAGAAGGTCCTCCCCTTTTGATCTTAGGAAGCAGTCAGAATGTTTTAACTCTATAGCTCTTCCACAGCGATGCGACCAAATGTACAATGGAGACTCAATCAAGTCCTGGCATCTTAGGCAAACATGTCATACAGTTTTACTTACATGCACGTCTGTTCAGAAATTAGTCCCACTGAATTTTCATAAGACCATAAGAAGAGCCTGCTGGATCAGGCCAATGGCCCATCTAGTCCAGCATCCTGTTCTCACAGTGGCCAGCCAGGTGCCTGAGGGAAGCCCAAAAGCAGAACCTGAGCCAACAGCATTCTACCCGCTTGTGATTCCCAGCAACTGGCGTTCAGAGGCAGAGCTATGGTGGCCAGTCGCCATTGGTAGCCTTACCCTCCAATGGGACTTTCTCCCCATGGAGTAAATGTGCATAGGATTGCAGCCTGAGTTTTGTTCATGCATGCATGTTCATCGCATGACAACTGCTAGTTAATGTGCTGTGTCACATGTGTGGATGATGAACCATCCAAGAGCAAACAGCGCAGGCACAACAGTCTTATCATCTGAAACAGTGCAGTCTTGTCACACATTCTGCTAAGAGTCATCCAACGCTTGAGTAATCCAGAAATGGAAAAAGCAGAAAAATATATATTGTGGTATGAGTGGTAGAAAGTGTGGTGTGAATGATGTTTAGTTTCTCCCCAACATCAAGAGAATAACATCTGTGCAATTAATTACTTCTTGAGTAATAAAATACAGTGGGACCTCAGTTACAGACGCTTCAGGTTACAGATGCTTCAGGTTACAGACTCCGCTAACCCAGCAATAGTACCTCAGGTTAAGGACTTTGCTTCAGGATGAGAACAGAAATTGTGTGGCGGTGGCGCAGCGGCAGCAGGAGGCCCCATTAGCTAAAGTGGCGCCTCAGGTTAAGAACAGTTTCAGGTTAAGAACAGACCTCCGGAATGAATTAAGTTCTTCACCCGAGGTACCACTGTAATTATTTGGGGGGGGGATGCATGAACATCTAGCTACCCCTTTACAAAACCGAGAATTTCCCTTTAACTTGCCTCTCAGATGATGCTGACTTCACCGGGACAATTAGTCCCCATGAAACCTGCATTCCATCCGCACACATTAACTAATTCATGCTTCCCATGCGATTTTTGGATGCGAGGTGCTACAGACGTACAAAGGATTATTGCACTGATTAAATTAGTTTGCGATGGATAATTCATCTGGAGCAGCAGATTCCCATTGAGGGTTTTCCTTCAACCTGAACTGAAGAAGAATGACACATGTGGCCCATGGCAGCTCTGAGAGCAGAAAATAAATTGAATGTGGCTTCGCTCCCTAAACCATAATTGGCAGCATTAAAATGCAACTGGGACTCCACAGGAGAAGAAATATCAGATGGTTAGTAGCTAGATTTAATGTTAGCCAAATTCGTGGAGGATTACAGCATTTTATTTCTTGATCATTCTTTATCCTGCAGGAATTACAACTGCTCCTCTTAATACAGGGATCTGGAATACTTCCACTATATTTTAAATAGATTGCTGTTTATTTCTATGGTGAAGAAACATTCTTTGAGACTAGCTTTTCTGAAGTGACCAAAAACGGATCACTTCCAGGTAAAAGGATGGCCTTCGTATGATTGCAAAATATATGAGAAAGAAAGACACCACTGTAATGTCACACCAGCAGCAGAATGTCAATTCAATAAATAAAATAAAATAAAGTAATTCATGTTGTACTGACTGACAATCAGCCTCAAGGGAAGAAATGGGGTCTTGAGAAAAAGTCACATGTTTAGGTATTGTCTGGCTTGCAGTGAAGCCCAAGATCAATAAAAAATTAAGAAATAAAAAATATTTTTATCACACAGAAGTGCAGGTGAGGGGAAGGAAACTGGTGCATAAAACAGAACAGAGTTTTTGTTGGCTGAAATTCCAGACAAATGCCCAGTTTTAGCATGAAATATTAATTTTTTTAAATATAAAAATGTTTTGTTCCTATTTAGTAAAGTTAGGATGATCCGCACATCTATTTCAACACTCTCCTTAGCATTGTTTGACCAATACTAAAACCTGTATATCAGATACATGATCAACTTCTGTTCCTTAGCACTTTGTAGCTCTCACACATATTGGAATACATTAGGAAACAAATTCCAGAATGATGATTCAGGATCCACAGTTGGCTATCAGGAAGCACAGGGGCAGTTTGTTAATCTGTATTGAGTAATGGTGACAATACTCTTGTGGAACAGGGTTCTATGTCATTTTAAATGTGCTTGTGGGAGAGGATTGTAGGTTTATTTTTGTTTTATTATGTATTTTGTGTTCTCATTTTGTATTGTTATGTTGTGAACTGCCTTGTGATCTTTGGATGAAGGGCAGTATACAAATTTTAATAATTTTTGACATCGGGAGCCGGTGTGGTGTAGTGGTTAAGAGCAGTAGTCTTGTAATCTGGTGAACCGGGTTCGCTTCCCCGCTCCTCCACATGCAGCTGCAGGGTGACCTTGGGCCAGTCACACTTCTCTGAAGTCTCTCAGCCCCACTCACCTCAGAGTGTATGTTGTGGGGGAGGAAGGGAAAGGAGAATGTTAGCCACTTTGAGACTCCTTCGGGTAGTGATAAAGTGGGATATCAAATCCAAACTCTTCTTCTTCATCATCATCAATGTTATTGAATAGTTTTGATGAAGCCAATGTAAATATATTGTCAAAATAATTGGTCTCATATATAATCTTGGCATCATAAATAGCAATTGCAGTTTAATGGAAAACAGTTCCAGATCTTACACTGATTGCTTGGTACTGCTCACTCTGGAGAAAATCACACATAATTTGTGATTTCATAAGCTCCAGACACTTTTTATATAATTTAGCATTCCTTTTATGACATATACAGCAAAGCCATCATTTTAAAGACAATGCTACTCACAAGCCTGGCAAATCTGGAACTATACCTGATCTGATAAAGTGGATAGTCTTTACTTGGGCTTTGTTGTTTTAGCTCATGTGCAACTACTCATTCTACATGCCTATTTTATAGTTTTTGTTTTTCATCTTTGTTATAACTGTTCTCTTCGTTTTATATATATTATAAAATGAAATAATACAAAAGAAGCTTTACAAATAAAATGTAAAGATTATTTCAGCTTGCTAAAAAACCCCAACCAGAATAAAAATGTTTACACCAGCCGACAAAAAGGATCTGGGGAGGAGTCCATCCACTGTCCATGGACAAAGTATTCCACAAGACTGAAAAGTCTGATTTAGAGTTAGCAGGCATGTCAGCTCAGAAAACAGATCATAGCTATAAAAAAAGGTCACTCACACCTTAATTCCTTCAATATTTTAACAGATTCTAAAAGATATCTAACTGAAGGTGTTAAGTTTTATCAGCACACACCTCTGTCTTCTGCTATAAACGGTTTAAGCACAATTTCAGGTTCTGGACAAACAGGGCATTCATTGAGCTGTAGTCAACAACAACAATCAAAACCTTCTCTTGTCTTGTAAAAATAAAGATAAATTTCTGTTCAGTTTAGGATGTGTTCTTAGCCTTTGAGAGAGAAGACAAAGGTAAATTTAAAGGGACAGCTAATTAAGGGGTCTCATTGCACTTCAGCTACAATATAAACAATTATATGTCTTTATATATTGGAGGGGAATCTGATATATTGGGGAAGAGACCATAACTCGGTAACAGAGAACATGTTTTGGACGTGGGTGGTCCCAGGTTTATTCCTCAGTACCTCCAGTTAAACAGATCGTAAGAACAGCCTTGCTGCATCACACCTAAGGCTTGTTGAGTCCACCAAACTATTATCCCAGTGGACAACTAGATGTCTTTGGGAAACCCACAAGAAAGACCTGCGACAGATGATGAGATCACGGTCAGGCAAAGGAGATGATATTGGCTGGGTGGACAAATAGTCTGAACTGCTAAAATGTAAATTAGGGTAATCTGGAAACTGATATTTGGGAGATCTGATTGTGGATTGCCTGTTGGGTTATCCACACTTCCTTGGAGCAAATGGCAATTCGGATTTTCCCTGGATTGCCATTTGTTCCGGTCTGTTGCTAAAGAGTGGGTTTTCCATTGGAAAGGAGAGGGGCAAAGGTAAGACCTTTCTAGGCATGGAGAGAAGAGACTTATCTGGAGCAAAGAGCAAGCATGACTTGTTGCAATTCCATTTTAGCTAGATGGGACTATCAAACAGGTATTCCCAATAATTAACATAGCTTTCTTATTTTCCAATTCCAGCATCTCAATGCTGTCGTACCCAGGGTAAAGTGTGCCCCTTCAATCAGGATTCTGTATTTGGGCCAAATTCTGCTGAGCATTTAATTCCTAATGCCATCAATTTCAGCAGAAAATTATGGATATACATTGATAGGAAATAAAGCAGTGTGACCAGCCCAAAACTTTTGCAGACATTGAAAGTGGGATTATGTGTAATATGTGCCCTAATAACATCGTGCACACGAATAACCATGAATGTGCAATAAAAAGGATGAGTGGAGGGGCTCCTCCACATGCAGCTGCTGGGTGACCTTGGGCTAGTCACACTTCTCTGAAGTCTCTCAGCCCCACTCACCTCACAGAGTGTTTGTTGTGGGGGAGGAAGGGAAAGGAGAATGTTAGCCGCTTTGAGACTCCTTCGGGTAGTGATAAAGCGGGATATCAAATCCAAACTCCATCTTCAAATAGACCCTCCTTCCAGATGTTACGTAAACAGTATGAAACCCAGTCATAAGAAGGGTTCCTATGCTACTCTGTCAGTACGAACCGGGCTTTAGTTCAGTCTTCCTCAACCAGGGGTCCCTAGATGTTGTTGGACTACAGATCCCAATAATAATAATAATAATAATAATAATAATAATAATAATATATTATTTATTATTTGTACCCCGCCCATCTGGCTGGGTTTCCCCCGCCACTCTGGGCGGCTTCCACAGAGACCAAAAATACACTAAAATGTCACACATTAAAAACTTCCCTGAACACGGCTGCCTTAAGATGTCTTCTGAATGTCAGGTAGTTGTTTATCACTTTGACATCTGATGGGAGGGCATTCCACAGGGCGGGCGCCACTAGTGAGAAGGCCCTCTGCCTGGTTCCCTGTAGCTTTGCTTCTCGCAATGAAGGAACTGCCAGAAGGCCCTCGGTGCTGGACCTCAGTGTCTGGGTTGGACGATGGGGGTGGAGACGCTCCTTCAGGTATACTGGGCTGAGGCCATTTAGGGCTTTAAAGGTCAGCACCAACACTTTGAATTGTGCTCGGAAATGTACTGGGAGCCAATGTAGGTCTTTCAAGACCGGTGTTATGTGGTCTCGGCGCCCGCCCCCTGATAAGGGACCATGACATTTGGGGATTATTTGTTTACTTATTAAAAGCATTTACAATCCTCTCGTCACCCAAAGGTGCCTGAATGGAGAATACATAACTATTCAACATCAAGTATTACCACTATGCGAACGCTATGAAACAAATGATGGGGATTGTTTATCTGGCAACAACCCTGCTGTCCCAGGCAGCCAGCTATTGCTGTCGCTTCATATTTAAAGAGGCTTAGCCTCCTCAGCAGGAGTCCAGCTCTCAGCCAAGTTGATTTCTTCTCTGTCAGCCAAGAGACAGGCCACTTTCTCTTGCCGTACCAGACAAGGTCAACTTGGATGCCCGGGTTACAGGTTTTCATTTATTTAAAAGCGTTCCCAAACTGCTTAGTATTTTTCAAAAATCGCTAAGTGGTGTAGAACATGAAAGCAATCAACAATATTGTTAAAACAAAAGCATAACATAAAAGTAGTATAAAAGCATATGAAAACAACAGGAGTTGAGGGAATTCAAACAAATAGAAGCAGGGCCACCAGCACAATGGACCACTTCTAGTTGCAGGAAGATAATAGCTTGCTATCTTCCTTCAGCTGTTAAGACAAATGGTGGCCACAAAGAAAGAAGGGACTTCCCATTCAGGACATCCCATTTTCCGAGTTAAGCCCAATTCACACAGGCTAAAATCCTGTATGCAAAGCAGTTACACCTGTCATTGCCAGTCATGCAGGATGTAAAAATATGCCTTGCCCCGAGCATTTTAGAATTATATTTCCTGTATTTTCAGAAACTGGTGATTATTTTGATCTACCCTATGGAGAATTCACAGACTTCAAAATGTATCTTAAATTGCTATCAGTCTTCCCCACAAAGTTACAGGATGCGTAAGATTTTACCTTTCATAAAAGCAGTAAGAATGAATGTAGTTACCGAATTAAGTCCAGCAAGGCATCTGCAGAGCTCATGATTGGCTTCCCACTTTCCTCCGTGTTCTCCTTCTGGGCTGCCCCACCAGGATGGATAATGGAGACCATAATGATTCCCACAATAACAGCCACGAAAGTGGTCCAAAGGTAGTACGTGACTGTTATGATGCCTAATCGACTAGATGTCTTCGCATCGAGGGCTGCTAGCCCAGACATTAAGCTGTTGAAAGAAGAGACAAGATACGTGTTACCCTGTCCACATGTTTTCTGAGTGAGATCTATTGCTCTAGGCTGTGAGAAGAAATGGACACGGTAAAGATATATCTCAGATGCTAGTTAACTTAGACTGACAGTCCTGAAAGCAGATCAAGATTTGTACACAGTAAGTCATAAATGCAAAACTCATCCTTAAAAAAAAAAGACAATAGGCTGCATCTTTTTAAAAAAAATATATTCTAATAACATAAATATTATTAGAAAAAATGCAATTATTAATTTATGTTGCTCCCCAGTTTTCTGCATTTTTCTTCTATTACAGATTGAGTAGTGGGGCTTGGGATGCTATTTCTTTTCAAATGTGGGCTGATACGAATACAGATGTACAGATGACTACAGCCCCTTCCCAACTCAAACATACATTGGCACATATCTAAAAGAAGCACCACCTTGTGCAATATGACCTAAATCACAGGTAAGTTTGAAATATTGCTATTTTTGCATCTCTCTAATTCCTATAATTTCTGTAAGCTATAAGACCTCAGATCAGGCCAACGTGATAATGTGATTGTGTACACAAACTCAGCCTGGAATTAGTATTTTTCTGGGAATTTACGTGGGGTTTACGTGGAAGTAGCATAGGAAACTGGAATGTGCACTTCCAGCTCTTGGCTTTTAATCCACGTTCGCACAAAGTTGCCCAAAATGCATTTACCGTATTTTTTGCCCTATAGGACGCACTTTTTCCCCTCCAAAAATGAAGGGGAAATCTGGGTGCATCCTATGGGGCGAATGCAGGCTTTCGCTGAAGCTTGGAGAGCGAGAGGGGTCGGTGCGCACCGACCCCTCTCGCTCTGCAGGCTTCAGGAAGACACCCGCAGCCTAGGCAGCCCTGCGGGAGGTCCCGCAGGGCTGTCTAGGCTGCGGATAGCAGCCTGCTTCCCGGAGCGTCGGGCACCCTGAAAGCAGAGTGCCCGGCGCTTCGGGAACACATCCGCAGCCTAGGCAGCCCTGCAGGAGGTACAGTGCATGGGGCAGGTACAGTGCATGGGGCACCCTAAAGCAGAGCGCCCCGCCCGCCGGACAGACATCCGCAGCATGGGGAGCCCTGCAGGAGTCCCCGCAGGGCTCCCCACGCTGCGGATAGCAGCCTGCCACCTGGTGCGCGGGGCACCCTGAAGCAGAGCGCCCCTCGCGCCAGGCATATTTCCGCAGCGTGGGGAGCCCTGCAGGAGTTCCCCGCAGGGCTCCCCACGCTGCGGATAGCAGCCTGCCGCCCGGTGGGCGGGGCGCCCTGAAGCAGGGCGCCCCTCGCGCCGGGCAGACATCAGCCAGCCCCACAAGCTCGGGGGGCAGCAGGGAGGCGCAGCGCCGCCATCCCGCTGTTCCTCGACCTGGTTCGGTTTCCCCGACCTGCTTTTGGGGGGGGGAAATAAAGGAAATTTCCCCCCCTTTATTCCCCCCCCCAAATCTAGGTGCGTCCTATGGGACGAAAAATACGGTATATCCTGTGCTTTGTCATAAAAGACTACTGAATGACGCACCCTTTCTTAAACCATTTGGAGTCCTAATTTCTCTCTAGGCAAGGTTTGAACACCTTTGCACAGGGTAAAGACACCCCTGCCCGCCAACACTGGTGTCTACACAAACAGAAACAAATCTTACACTAATGAAGCCATGCTGATGTGAACATCTGGGGTGGGCAGAGAGGGGGATATTAGAAACTTGCAGGGTGTGGAATATTGAAAGGAGCACCACTCAACCTTCCTTTTATATGCAAAAATATGAATGGGTGGCAGGAAACAGCAGCATGATTTGGTAAGATATGTAACAAAGTTTCCGGGGTGGGGCTGTCTTCTAAAGATTTCAACACTATTTATTAACAATAACCAAACAAACTAGCAAACACTATTAATTTATCCTAGACACCAACATTTCCCCAAACGTGACAAATGTCATTTGATGAATTTGTCTAGAGGTCAGGCTGAAAGGCAGCTTAACCTTTATAACAAATTTGGTGAAAACATAGTGGTAGGATTAAGCCATCAGGTTCCACTCATCCAGTAAATTAATTAAGAAAATGCACTGCTTAACTGCTTGCCAATCTTTAATCCTGCAGGTTTTGTTTTTAGTTCGATGCATTGGGGGGAGGGGGCAGGGGGCGGGGACAGAGGGAACAGATTTTTAGCTTCATTGTATTGTATTTTCACTCTCTGCCCTAGAATTCTTCTCCTTTAATCCCCAGGTACTGGAGGGGAACTTGTGATTAATTCACAGTTATATTTTAACTGCTGTGTTCAAATGTGGCAAATGCTATTAGATGCAAGTTAAAGAGATACCTTCTTAAGAGATGGCATTTGTCAGATTTTTTAAAAAATGAAAAATGAAAATTGCTGTTTACTCAAATGCATTAAAAACATTAGCAGAAGTATCGTTCATTTTTTTTGCATTTATTGCCATAAGTTTAAAAAGTGAAATAATAAAAGTCATCCAAATACATTAATAATACAAACGCATACAATATATAAAAGACTAGATTGTATCGCTCAATTAAAGAGATAAAAGGAAGAGATAAAAAGCAAAAGGATCAAGGCCTTGGAAGCAAATTTGTTAGGTGGTCAGAGTGTTCCTGCAACATTTTTTTTTTAAAGTAACTATAAACCCTTTCCAGAAAGTCTGTTTAACATATTTAACTTCTGAGAACATCTGCATTATAATCCGGCCTGCCAGGCTACTCTGAAAGAAAGTAAATCACAATGAGGTTGTTTTGTAATGACATCAGTGAAAATAAGCAGAATGTCTATTCAGTGAAACTATGCAGTAAACGTAAGTCCACCAATGCTCCCCCCCCCCCCCAGTTTCACTGTGATCCCAGTAGCATTTCATGTCACTTATTTTCTCCCAATGCAACATGCACTTACAAAGTCTTCCTATTTCTGTATGAAGCATATTTGTTTTATAGTCAGGTTGCCAGGATATGAACACCATGCAATTTAGAGTGACTTTACTACAATCACATGGTCATAATGCTGAAGTAATAAGGAGCTGTTACTTACTAAACAAGTGGCTAATCCTGGAAACTGTAGTTTTTTAAGGCAGCTGGGAATTGGAGCTCTTGGGGGATAAACTACAATTCCCAGGATTCTTTGGGGGCGGGGATGTGCTTTGAAGGAATGACATGTACATAGTCTTACAAGAGGACAGGTTCTGCCCTAATGGAATAGGTAAAGGGTAAAGAGACCCCTGACCATTAATTCCAGTCGCGGCCGACTCTGGGGTTGCAGTGCTCATCTTGCTTTAATGGCTGAGGAGGCCGGCATTTGTCCGCAGACAGCTTCCGGGTCATGTGGCCAGCATGACTAAGCCTCTTCTGGCGAACCAGAGCAGTGCATGGAAATGTTGTTTACCTTCCGGCTGGAAGTGGTACCTATTTATCTACTTGCACTTGTTGTGCTTTCGAACTGCTAGGTTGGCAGGAGCAGGGACTGAGCAATGGGAGCTCACCCCATCACGGGGATTCGAACTGCCAACCTTCTGATTGGCAAGTCCTAGGCTCTGTGGTTTAGACCACAGCGCAACATAGCAGAGAGACAACAGAGGAAGCAGAGGGAAATGAAGACAGTGATTTCTTCTTTTTCTTTTTTAGCCCATGGCAGTACTACTGTTCTAGTCTCAGAAAAGGAAAAGAAAGACAGAAATAAATTTTCACATGATATCCCACCACCATGGGAACTCCAGAGATAGACTTTCTGATGAGTTAAATTTGGATATAATTTACCCCAAACACTAAAACAAGAAAGAAAATGTAGAAAATGTTTCACTTTGACCTATCAGATTCATAAGAACTTAAGTGGAGCCCTGCTGGATCCAGCTAAAGGCCCCTCAAGTCTAGCATCCTCTCCTCGTTCTGGTCAACTAGATATTAATGGAAAGTCCAGAAACAGGACATGATCGCAACAACATTCTCCCCCCTTTTGATTCCCAGCAATTGGTATTCCAAGGCAAACTACCTCTGAAGTTACAACATAGCTATTATGGAAGAGAGTCATGGGTAGACTTATCCTCCACAATTTGCAAAGAACATTAAGGTAGAGGAAAATGATGACCAGTTCAGATATTAATCTAACAAAAGGTGCAGCATGACCTGCCACATCTCTCACATATTTACAGCAGCTTGGTTACAGATGATGCTTGATCACCAATCATGGTATGGTCTAGAGTTAGTGTCCATTCATATATTAGCTCCAAGGTGACAAATCCTAGAGGGGTCTAATAATGAGATTGCCCAGTCTTTGGAGCATGTTCATTAATAAGATCATCATCTGTAATAAGATTACTCTGTCACCAGATAATGTAGTGAGAAGAGTTAGAATTGTAAGGGGCAAGTCCACAAAAGTAATTAACTGTTTAGAAGCAGTTAATTAGGGGTGCCTCCTGAAAGGGTGGAGAGTCAAACTAAGGCTAAATGCTGCTAATCTAAATGCAGAATTCTGTAAATAAAGATGCATAACCCAGGAATAGCAAACCAAAATTTAAAAACAACGCAACGCAAGGTGGGGGGGGGAGGTATTTCTCTCTGTGGATGTATGCATGTACCGTATTTTTCACTCCATAAGACACACTTTTTCCCTCCTAAAAAGTAAGGGGAAATGTGTGCGTGTCTTATGGAGTGAATGCAGGGGGGAGGCAGGCAGGAAAAGCCCCCAAGAGCCACACAAAAGCTCTGCGCGGCTCTTGCGGACTTTTCCTCAGGAGGGAGAAGGGACGCGGCCAGTCAGTCCCTTCATCCTCCTCGTAGAAAAGCCCGCAGGAGCCGCATGCTCCTTAAAGGGTGCGCGGCTCCTGTGGGCTTTTGTGGGAGGTGGGGGAATTGCCATAGCCACGCACAGCCTCTCCCGGCCGGAGAGGTTGCGTGCGGCTAAAGAGGAAGCCAGGACAGCGAGCGGGATCCCGCTGGCTTTGCTCTTTGGGGCTGGGGAGGGGGGACCCGGGCTTCCCCTGGCA